TTTGAGAGAATAGATGATGCATCTCGTATTTGCCACATATAAAATCATAGTTTTAAGTTTTATCATAGAATACTATGATATCTACATACATAATATAACGGGAGTGTGGGCGGAGCCCGTGTAGCCACTAAAATATCACAGTGTTTTGACGTTACAATCGTTTCCAAATTTCCCATACAAATTATTTAGAAAATGCCAAATTGCACGCTATTTACCAATAAATATGTATTAAAATCTGTCTGTCAACACGACGATACGACGCTTGTATGTGTGCTCCAGCCAACGCCGAATCTCGTACAAAATAAGGTTGACAGCCATTCTATTGTGTATTATAGTATTCTATGGTTTCTATAAAATAGGGTGAATAACGAGCACACTCCATCTGATGGTAAGCGGATGCTGTGGCCCATAATTATCTACATTTATCCTTAGGTAATAAGCAAAATGCAGATGCATTATCACACCTGAGAGCTAAGATGGAATGCCTCGCTTCCAGTAAAAAGGGTATCTAGATCTCTACACTCACCATACGAAACACAGCAGAATTAAGCTGTTATTTACGGTGATATTCTGTGGGAGTGTCGTCCTCCCGGTCGAGCCGACCCATTCATGCTATAGCCATAATACAGCTGCAAGGTGGCTCTACCACGGTCTAGGCCTGGGTTATGATGCCTTTCATATAGCGATTAGTTACTTCAAAGAATTGTTCGGATTAATCCCAGCCGCCAAATTTCGTGAACGCACTACGCGGCAAACGTCCCGATACCATCCACACCATCTGGATGCTTGGCGATCCACCACTGTACGTTTCACAAGGAGTTTTCTTCCGAGTACGACCTCTCTGTGTAAAAGTTTACTACCGGCGATTTTAGCGAACCGATACGACCTGGGGACCTTCAAAAAAAGAGCTTACTCCTTACTAAAGGGCCGGCAACGCACCTGCAATTCCCCTGGTGTTGCGGTTGATCATGGGCGGCGGTAGACACTTAACATCAGGAGAGCCGCATGCTTGTTTGCCCCTCTTCTATATAAAAAAACGTACAAATAGATATAAAACCCATGCCAGCAACGGGGAACAGCGTCGAAGTTTGTGAGTTATTGCCATAATATCAACGCTTGATAGGCGGGCTTGCAACTGCAACTTATATTATCTTAAGTTATTATTAAGAAGTTGTTGTTGGTAGTGTTTGCTCACCTGTTTCGGTTTTCCTTTGTCGCCTATTACGAGTTTGTCGACTTTTTTTCTACGTAGTAGAGCTATGTTTTGGTACGTGATAGAGCGACGCTGCAGCTATATTACAGTTTCAGCACGAATGTACCGATTCGAACGGGTTCGGACCACGCTCTCACAGAATACCAGCGTAAAATAGCACTCAACGCTGCTGTGTTTCGCATGGTGAGTGTAGAGATCCGGAGACCCTTTTTACTGGAATCGAGGCATTCCATCTTAGTTTTCAAGGGTTACAACGCATTTGCATTTGATTCTTAATTGAGGATAAATGTGGATGTCTATGGGTCACAGCATCCACTTACCATGAGGTGGACTGTGTGCTCGTTTATCATCCAACGCTATAAAAATGTTGCAGCTTTATTATGCTTGTAGCACGAATGGGTCGTCCCGACCGAGGAAGGACCACGCTCTCACAGAATACTAGCGTAAAATAGCAGCTAAAGTTGCTGTGTTTTGTATGGTGGGTGTGTGTGTGAAAGGACTGGAGACCATTGAAGTATCAAGGCAAACTTAGTCCTCAGGGATGACAACGTATCGGCCTTTTGATCCTTATTCGAGGATACAGGTGAGCTGTGTGCTCGCTTGTCACCCATATACTATTAAATAAAATGAAACCCACGGGATGCCATTGGGTAGTCGTTTCTCTTACGCTGCCACTACAGGGCAAACAGAATTTCTAAGAAATCATACCAGCATAAAATAGCAGCATAATACAACAGTAGTCTCGTTTGGTTTGTTGATTCTTGTCACGTGTTTGCGATTGAATTCATAATCGATGATAGATATTGGTGTCCATTCGCTACGGCATCTATTCACCACGAGGTGGACTGTGTGCTCGTGCGTCACACTTAAGAGGATAGAGTAAGTCAGCTCAAATTCTAATTTCGCCCCCACTTCCCCGCGCGTCGTATGCTATGTACCGATATGTTTGTAATCACTAATACTGTAAGTAGAAAGGTCGTTAGACACTTATTTCATTAGGTTTATCATATTTATGCCTGTTTCTTAACGCCAAGCCAGCCGCTTCTTATTTTTATCACGGTTATTTCCCATTTTAATTTTACGTCGTACTGTTGCGTAATGTATATTCTGATCGTAAGCGACACAACTTCTCCCTTCAAAAGCCTAAGCGATACTAACGGGCGACAGGAATCAAGCTCAAGACGCCGATAGTTTAGGTAATTTCTTTTTACAGTGAAAATAATGGTATTTTAAAAAAAGTAAATAACATAAGCACTGCTTTATAGTTAGTTCAGTTAGTATGCAAAGTTTCATGATCTTATTTAAAGTATTTTATGAATAACAGCGGTTTATTGTTTATTTTGGAAGTAACTTTGGATTTTTTTTCTATCGAGAAAATTTTACGAAATCGTGTTTTCGTCTAACATAATCATTAACATTAATTCTCAACTTTACCATATATTTATTTCAAAATTAATGCTGCAATATTTTCGGCATAACGAAGGATCTTGCTAAGCCATTTGACATTATATTTCCCCTTAATAATTGTAATAAAAATCTAGAAATTGTCACCAATACCTCGTAAATATGTGCACGCAATAAATCTACAGCAATACAAATTCTTTACTTATAAACGTTTTCGTTTTCCATTCACTGCCAATTGCTTTAGTTTATAGCAGTAAGCAAAGTTGATATATTAATTTATTGCTGCACAGTTGCACTACGAAAGGTATAAATCTATTGAGCCAATAATACCACAGTGAGGACGCGTTATAAATCTTTCGTTCATGTGTATTCCGTATTGACATATCAATGGGACCGAGCGTGCGCATATAAATATCACATAAATGCTTTGAATCGAAATAAGAAATCGAGCTACGGCCGCCATGTCGTGGGAATATCCTCGCGAAATTTATGGGCGATGAAAACGTCATAAAACAATAATAACCAGGTTTAAATTAAATAGCTTTAATGCAAATTCACCTATATTGTGAGCACATAGAATTTAATTTTGTTTGAAATCTAACTACCGGTATTTATGTTAAAGTTACGCTGAAAATTACTTATGTGTTCTTACTTAACACAAAATTTGAAATAACAAATTAAAATGTTTTGTAAATTATAACTAACGTATATTACTTAGATAAATAGAAATCTATATTTATTTTATATATGGATACTAGCGATACGCCCGACTTCGAACTGGTGATTTCTTTATCTCGACAACAGCGTCACCTACCGGATTGAATTGTGAATCTAAACCATTCTCAAATCAACTTAATCACACACACAAAATTTTATAAAAATCGATCCAGCCATTTAGGAGGAGTTCAGTCACATACACACGGACAGAAGATCGCCGTATAGTTACTGCGAAAGAGAATCCACTAATCACAAACCCATAGCATCCCGTGGCGTGGGTTCCTTGAAAGGCGTGCCCCATATCATCACGTGGGTGCCAGAAATATAAGCATAATAATAATAATGTTTTTTATAGAATAAGGGTGACAAACCAACACACACTTCACCTGATGGTAAGTGGATACTGTAGCCCATCGATATATTTATCTTCAATTACGAATCAGAATGCAGACTGAGATGGAATGCCTCATTTCCAATAAAAAGGGTCTCCGGTTCTCTACATTCACCAAACGAAATACAGCAGCCTTAAGCTGCTATTTTGCTGCTGGTTTACATATGCACTGGTATTACACACTGCTGGTATATCACAATATAGCTGCAGCATGATTGTACCACGTAAAAGAAATCTTTACTTAAACCATAATGAATACATTTAATTTTGATATCTCATAAGATAAAATCTTTATAGTTTAATTGATTCATATATTGTTTCACAGAATTTTGTTTTTATATAATAAGGGTGAAAACGAGTACACAGTCCACCTGATGGTAAGTGGATGCTGAGGCCCATAGACATCAGCATTTATCCTGGATTAAGAATCAAAACGCAGATGCGTTGTCACCCCTGAGGACTAAGATGGAATGCCTCGTTTCCAGTAAAAAAAGGACCAAACGGAACACAGCAGTATTAAGCTGCTATTTCATGCTGGAACTCTGTGAGAGCGTGGTCCTTCCCGGTCGAACCGACCCATTCGTGCTACAACCATTATAGCTGCAACGTGGCTCTACCACGCTTGCCACGCTTGGCGGGCGGGTTGGCAACCGAAGATTTTTATAATTTTTAGTTGTTATCAGAAAAAAGCTGCTGCTCATCTCCTGGCTTGTTTTCCTTTGTCACCTCTTAAAACAACCACGGAGTGATGTGCGGTCGTGGATATGCACCACCATTACACAGTTGGTCGATGTTTGTCTGTGTGCAATTTATTGTAAAAAAGGTATTGACGATACGGGAGAAATCCTGATCTCAAATCCCGGGAATAACGCTTTAAAATACCTTATTTAATACTATAAATGATGACTAATTTTTATATGACCATAGGAATTTCTGTCTATTTTTAAAATCTAGAACCTTCGTGTATTTATTCGCACAGCCTCAAAAACAGTGGTTACATTTTTTAGCTGCACACTTTTATCCAGTTGTTGAAAACAAAAAAGTTTTAAACAACATTAATTTAGGTCTCTTTTAAAAAATAAACATAAGTAAGTGAGGATCCCTGCGGGGGCTACTTTCGCTGTTTTTTCTCCTGACAACGGAACCTCATTTCGAAACGGTAGTACATTACAAAACTTGTTGACGTATAATAAATGAAATTTTATTTTCTTAAGTCAAAAAATAGAGTTTTTATTTCATTTCATTAGCGACTTACTAATATGTTTTTTTTTTCAGATTACAAGCCTTGCCTGCCCAACTTGGAAAACAATGCAGCGACCTTCATGCTAGACCTGCAAGACCACCATAAATGTGGCGTGACCAGAGTCATTAATCAAATTACGGTAAGAGTTACATTCGTACAATATAACGTATCTAAATTGTTTGTTTGGTATTCTTTTTTCTACTATCATCCTTATGTTTTTATTTTAAAATATTAGAGCGATAATTTTGCTAACAGCCGCCCTCATAGCAAGTGGCTACAGCAGTTTCATGGACTGTGTTTACACGTGCTTTCTTAACCAACACAGAAGTTGATGCCAATGTATCAACTTTTGCATTTGCAAATTCTTCAAAGAATCAGGCGTTACTTTGCGGAAATCCATTATAATAATAGTTACTTTGGCAACCATCCGCTCAATAAAATAAAATGATGTGGTGGTGTTGGGAGTAGTGGTGCTGAGATTAGTGGTGACAGAATTGGAGCACGCAATTGAGGAAGGGCGGGAGGTGCTCTTCAAACTAGGTAAAGTAAAAAAGTAAAGTAAAGTTACAGCCTATATACGTCCCACTGCTGGGCTCAGGCCTCCCCTCATTTCTGAGAGGGTTTAGGGCAAGGAAGTGTCCGCCGCGCTGCCCAAATGCGTGTTGACGAACTTCACATGTCTTCGAAATATTTTTTTTCTTATTCCTCAGACATGCAGGTTTCCTCACGATGTTTTCCTTCACCGCCGAGCACGTGGTAAATCAGCACTTAAAATTGCAATTAACAATTTCATTGGTGCCGGCGGGGATCGAACCCGGGTTACTCGCATATTTACAGCGATCCAATTGCGAGCTCGAAGTTCTTCAAACTAGGTAAGACACATCATTTTATTTAATTGAGTGGATGGTTGCAAAGTAACTATTAAAATCTTTCTTTGCCAATACATCAACAATGCATTGTTGCTTGGAAGCAGAAATTTCCAAGATTAATAGCATAGTGACTTTTTAAAACCGCGCATCTAAGTAATCATAATACTAAGGCAACTTTACTAAAGTGGTTAAGTAATTTTGACTATGACACTACTGAGAATCTTATCGTTACCACTAAATACACACACACACATACGCACAAACACCTTTTTTTACTTTATTATTATTATTTTTTACTCTCTTTTTACTTTGTAAGCTATATGTTATTTTGATTTTATCCTAATAAATTTTATACCGTTTGCAATTAAAAAATTTCACATTACAACTATGTGGCACTGAAACAGGGAAGACGCTGTAGCCTGTAACACAGTTTTCAACTACCACGGGCTACAGAACTTCAATATGATTTGTTTATATGTTATGTGAGAAACCATAAATATTATTATTTTAAGGAGAAAAAAGGTAGAAGGGCTTCTTCGTTTATATTTGCAAGAGCAAAAGAATATATAGAAAATAATAATGGTGTGCAGCGTCTGATCTAAAACCAGCTGGCATTGTGATCGCCTGCTAAAAGTAACTATTTTGGCTAATCTAAGATTGTATTTTTCGGTGATAGGTCTTCTTATTTGACTAGGAGTATGTCTGGTGAGCCCCCACTCTTCATACCTATTTCTGGCACCAAATAGCACTGCAAGCACTGCTGTGTTCCAGTATTTTTATAGGACAGGGTGACAAACGAGCACACAGTCCATCTGATGGTATGTGGTTGCTGTGGCCCATAGACATCTACATTTGTCCTCGATTACGAATCAAAATCCAGATGCGTTGTCACCCCTGAGAACTAAGATGAAATGCCTTTTTTGAAGTAAAGAGGGTCTCCGGTTCTCTACACTTACCATACAGCAGTATTAAGCTACTATTTTACGTTGGTATTCTGTGAGAGCGTGGTCCTTCCCCGGTCGAGCCGACCCATTCGTGCTACAACTATACTCCTAATATATCTGCAGCATGGCTCTACCACATATGAAGCGTATTGAGAGTTAATAATTAATATAATTACTGGCTGTGAGGCATTCCTTCCGTCTGAGTCCTCAGAGGTGACAAGGTAACTGTAACCTTCTTTGTTTGAAGTAGGTTGATCCATGGGCTACAGCTACTTATCATCAAGTGGTTACTAGTTAGCTTGTAACTTCAGTTTTATAAAATAAATTAAATACTAGAAGCGAGACTCAAGGCTGATGATTTCGGATCCTACTTTATTTTGTTTTTTGGAGATTCAAACTCGAACAAAAATTCGAAAATAAGAAATTTCTTAAATCTAATTTATTTATTTAATTCCAGGGTAAACGTACATTCTACCACAAAATTGTGATAGAGTTGGCAGACGGCGGGCGCGAGACAGTAACTGTCAGGTGTATGGTGACAGGCAAACCACATCTCGTAGCGAGACGAGCGGTTGAACCTTTCCCCTTGGACTTCAACGAACCAGAGTAAGTAATATGTTATATTGTTACATTATTTTACAGATGTACAAAATTTAATACCTAATTGTGATTTTCTTAGAAATCTATCGGTTGAAACAAAAGAAAGTGAAACATGGATGCTTTAGCATTTATTTCCAATCGGCTGATGGAACTTAATATTTAGAATGGTTTTTATATAATAACATCGACCTGGAAACATAATACTTCAATTATCAACCCAATTGCGACTAAGGCTGCTCAATGTGCTTGGAAATATGTTTTTACTTTTATAAAAGTAAAAGTATGAATTTCAGCGGGAGCTCGAATTGTAATAGTAGCTTAAAGATTTTAACAATCAAAATAGATGCGATTTTGTGTATTAAATGTTTGCATGTGAACTATTAGGATATTACGAAATAAGTGCTTCGATGTTAAAATAATTACTAAGTTATTTTGTCCGATTAGGCGTCTTAAACGGTTCTTGAGGTACTCCCTCAGATCATAGAAACAACAGGATCTGAGGGTACTGCCGTCGTCGACTGTCTACTGGCTTATGCTATTGTTGAAATATTCCAAAAACTCCGCAATATAATGCATCAACATATTGAAATTTGTTGATTAGTAAGCTGACCCCACCCTAGGGCTCCCACCCGTACTATAATATATAGTATCGTATTATATTTTAGTCAATTTTACTATATATTGTAAAAAAATAATATAGTACGCAAAATTATATTTCTATTTTTTATCCCTAATTCAACTGTCGCGGTTTTTTTATATTAACTGTGATTGGAAATATGGAACAAGTAAGTTTTACGGAAAGAATTTTTTTATCATGAACTTAAAATTGAGAGAAGAAAGAAAAAGGGCATGTATCAATTTAATTAGAAATTAATCGTTAATATATTTTAATATGAATCCAAATTGCTCAAACTTCTATAATTATTTCAAGGATAACGTAGAAGGTAAGGTGGTTAGATCATTGATGGCCAAAGCAAAGAACAATAACGAATATGTATGGAAAATACATAAAGATTAAAATTAAATGTGTACTTTTTGTCACCGGAATTTCTCAAAAGTATTATATTTTTGTATCTTTTTAGGAAAAATACTATTTTTTTAAAGGTAGCAACTTTAAACCACCCCTCCTTGAGGACTAAGATGGAATGCCTTGTAACCAGTTAAAAGGGACTCCGATACCCGCCACTCACTATACGAAACACATCAATATGTATGTTCAATTCAATGTATCAATATGTATCTATGTTCCTTTTTATATGGCCTATGTACCAACGGAAGTGTAATTATTGTAGTACCTACCTACATATCTAATTTAAAAGTGGATTGACGGAAAGTAGCGTCGATAATCTGCCTGAAAAGACTAGTGATTATAACAATATTTGGCGTTCACTAATCGCGCATTTAATTCATAGTACGCGAGCAAAAAAGTTTGATCCCCTGTGGCACTAATGAAATTGTCAATAGCAATTTTAATACTACGCGCTGGGTAGTGAGTAGTGAGAAATTATAAATATAAACAATTTTGGAGTTCGTCAATAGGCACTGCAGAAGCGCTATGAAGTCTTCCTGCTCCAAAAAATATCTTGTGTGCAAAAGTGAAACATATGTAGGCTGTTGCATTCAGTTTACGAAAAATAATTAATTTTCACTTATAACTACTTCATTTAAATCTCTACATTAGGTTTACCGTTTAAGTCACCGTGTTGACAAGGTTCCTAAAACCAAGAATCCATTTCAATTTGGAATATTATTTTAAAAGAAATCACGTTTTAGGTATGTAATATCTGTAGCTATTTATGGTTACTTAACTAACTTAATTTGACAAATTTTATGAAAAATGTAAACAATATTTTAACTGACTTCAAAATAGGAGTTATTTTTGTTATTCAAGAAGATAACACTTAAACCTGCAGGGACATTCTGTAGTATAAACTGTAATTTCACAATATCAAAATTTGAGCAGCATAGTATGGGGGTAGACTCAAGACGTTGTAGAGTTTGAGTTCTAATTAGAGACTGTCCTTGAGTCAATGTTAACAATCGATTTCGTAGATTTTTTATTTTATTGAAAAAGCGTAAATTACACAGTGGTCTCATATAAGTTTAACCCCAAATCTTTCTAATTGTAGTTGGTTTATAATTTATATCTTTTTAAATGATCAAATTATTTTATAGTGTTCTGAACATCACACGATACGAAGAAGGACGCGCTCCCGAACCAATTTTGGGTGCCGTTGTGAAGCAAAACGGAAAACAGTAAGTTTATAATAATGAATTAATAGAGATTTGAGTAAAAAATCATATTCTATCATGGCTATTCTACAATTGTATTCTTCAAAATAAATGAACGGCAGTTCACTATATGGTGACATCGTAAGAAATCCTTTCGCCCATTTTTCGCCGTTTCGTCTCAAAGGTTCTTAGGGACGACTTTGGCGAATGCACTTGCACTTTATCAAGAAAACTTCACTTTGCTTTCTTCAACTTTCCTGTCTAAATTACCGTTACAACTTTAAAATAATAGTTATAATATAAAAATACAAAAGAAAAAATCTGAAATTAAGTACCTACCAAGTAGAGAAACTGTTACTGCTCACCGGTAAGAGGCACACGAGAACCTTTCTTTCCCATTTATTTACGATTATTTATTATGTTATATGGCCGACCTATTACCACTTCAGCTTACTACAGCGGTTTATAATTCTATCTGATATTTTCATTACGAATATATTATTTAATTAATATATAATTATTATAATTGTTATACTCATTAAACAAATGTAATTTCCACACAGGGTATCAGGTGAGATATCCGTTAGCCCAGGCACACCGCTTTCGATGGAAATATTCCTGGACAACGCCTCAGCGCCAGTATACGGTCTACTCGTGAGCTATATGCACGTCACCGATACCGGCAAACAGCAGGAGACTATAGTCTTCAACGGGTAAGTAAAATAGTTTTCAAAACAATGAAAAATTAAAAATATATAAATAAGGTCAGAAATTTGCTATAGCTATTTAATTGTTAAAAATAATATAGTTCAAAAGCTACACGATCACTAACAGACACACAATTAAAAATATTATATAAATAAGGTACGTGAAGGTAATATGTTCACCTTAAGCTTTGCCACCCTATAAAACCAAAACTAGGTGGAGGGCAGAGACAAAAACACAAAGTCGTATACTATAACTAATATATTAGAAAGAAATAGCAATCAAGCTTTGACAATAATTAGGAGCACTTAGAAAAATCACCTTAAAAAATTAACTAAGCTACACAATACTAAAATCGACTAAAAATGTCAACTGTCAAAATGGCGTCGATAAAGCAGCGCCCTTTTGACTCTTTATTATTTGATTGACCATCCATGCAAACAAGGCTGTAGTTTTTGAGTTATAATATATTGGCCATATTAACCGGACGACTATATTACCCTCACTTACTATATTACTCGGTCAGAATATGTATCTTTATAACGAAAGCTTAAGTAAAAAGTAAAATATAGAATGGACTATCTGTAATGCCACTAGCGGTACGCTTTCTTATTTCATAACGTATCTGCTCGTTTCCTTCTTTTTTGTCGATTTATGTTTCATAGCAGCACTTATTATACAACATGATTATGTGCATAAATTTATATCTAGCATCCACCAGAACCCAGAAAGAATAAATGCCATTTAAAAAATTGCAATTGTAATAAGTATTTCATGTGCATTGTTGAACGTGATTTCGCTATGTTTTCGTTTATTGAGAATCTTAAAATTGAATTTTTGCAGTTGCTCTGTAGACCCATATCTATTCGACAACTTCGTGACGACGGATGGAGACGTGCTCGCTGCAAAGTTCAAAGCTTTTAAATTCCCGGACACCAGCTACGTGCAGTTCAGAGGAACGGTCACCGTTTGCCTTGACAAATGCCAAGGGGTAAATAGTGCTTTATATTAAAACAATTTATAAGACATAAAATCGCAAAACATCACAGCCACAAAGCAAAGAAACATAAAGGATAAATTGACGCTTAAGGCGAAATAGTAAATATTATCTCATATTTGTTACATAACATTATAATATACAAGAAGAGTTTCTGAGAAATGACTACATATTTTTGATGTTTGTGCCATTCGCTGTAGAGACTGTTAGTCCGTGGGGTTCACGTGTTGTGTAGTTCCTAAAGACTGCCTCGTTGGTCTAGTGGTTGTAGTAGTGCGACTTCTGATCATGAGGTCCTGGGTTCGAATCCCGAGTCGGGCCATAAAATCAATTATTGAGTTTTTCTGTCAAGAAATTCTCAGTAGCTGCCCGGAGTCAGGAAATTGGCGGTGTCTCACCCCCGTGCCTCGGAAAGCACGTAAAGCCGTTGGTCCTGCGCCTGATCTCTTTCCGGTCGTGTCGGTTTACCGTCCCATCGGATTATGAGAGTGAGGGAATAGAGAGTGCACCTGTGCTTGCGCATACACTTGGGCACTATAATCCTGTCCTGCGCCGTTGGCTAGCCTCCGTTGAGGCAGGCCGCCGTGGCCGAAATTCGGTCTGGAGGATTGTTGTTTTTTGTAGTTCCTAAAGGTAGTGTACCCGCAACATGTCGACACCGCTGACAAGAGGGCTTGTTTTCTCTCTCAAACTCTAAGTAGAGCAATAAGATCGTAAATACGAGAAAACGCAGCCAGCAGGACTGGATAACAATTTATTTTTAATTTTGGTTTATTTATAATTATAAATATTAATTACGCTTCGAATGGACTTTAGATGTTTTGCAACTTTAAATAAAATTGTTATTCTGTTCAAAATATCAATGTATTTAAAAATTTATATAATCAGTGTATTGCTTCGATGTGCCATGAAAAGCTACGCCGCGCCCATTTATTTAAACTTCTACACTAACATTATAAAGAAGTGAAGTTGATTTTATGTGTTTTATTCGTGGTAGAGCCATGCTGTAGCGAATTGGTAGTAAAGTTGTATCACAAATAGGTCGACTCGACCGGGGAATCAATCCAAAACGGTGCGTTTACACCAAAACCGATTTTGTTGGCCGATGGCGGACAGAACTACCCGGACGAGTAACTCGGACGTGTATGTGCTTACACTGCAACAATGTACCACTTGTGCCGACATTGAACGTTGCCGGTATTCTTTTCTATTTTTATATTTTCAATATCCATAGTCGTTAGGTAGATAACAAAACTGACGGAAACAACAGAATAAAGACAAAATGATTAAATAAAACTATAGATACACTCAATTTGGACTGTAGCCACCGGCAGTAGGTCGAGAAATCCCAACAAGTTCAGACTCGACGGTTGATCGGCCGTTTTCGTGCGTTATCGGACGATGACGGTCGTATCGGTGTACGCGCTCTCTTTGTTTTACAAGTGTTTGATTCGATCGTCCGAGTTCGGCCGTCATCGCTCGAGCAAACTTCGGCCGATAACAGATCAGGTGTATGCGAAGCTTTAGGCTCCGCTATCCAAAAGTGACCAAGTTTCACCAGCGTAATACGAATTCCAAAATTTTATATTTTTTATCTCCAATACTACGAACCTTAACAATTCTTACATATTATACAAAAACCTAACCTAAGCCTAGAAATTCCTTAAAATTAATTACATCTTCTATTTAGGTTCAATGCAGCAACGGAGCGATTGGGTATGGTCGAAAACGTCGTTCGATTGCTTCAAGCGCCGATTCCAGCAAGGTGTATGAAGTGTCATTGACGACCTTCATCAAGGTGGACTGGACAGACCCCAATGCCGCCAGGGATTCAGGTTTGTTATCTCATTATTATTTTTCACTTATTATAAGGCAGCCCTCGTCTACAATCCCACCAGGTAGTAAGTGGTGATGAAGCCCTAGATGCAGAGGCGGATTATGTGTCGACAGCGCCATAAACTAGATCTCATAGGCGCCTCTCAGGCAGCCATATATTATGTATTATTACTACCCATTTTGCAAATAAACTATATAATGGCACGTTTACATTATCGGTACAAGCAACTCGTCGAGTAACTCGCCTAATTATTCGTGGACGAGGACGACACGTTTACATACTCGTCTGGATTCATTCTAGACATGTAGCTTTCTGTTATATTTACAGCGATCGTTAACCACTGAGCTACCACGGCTCTATATAACAGAACTAATCTAAATATAAATATAACAGAACGCGAGTAGCCCGGGTTCGATCCCCGCCGGCACCAATGAAATTGTTAATTGCAATTTTAAGTGCTGATTTACCACGTGCTCGGCGGTGAAGGAAAACATCGTGAGGAAACCTGCATGTCTGAGGAATAAGAAAAAAAAATATTTCGAAGACATGTGAAGTTCGTCAACACGCATTTGGGCAGCGCGGCGGACACTTCCTTGCCCTAAACCCTCTCAGAAATGAGGGGAGGCCTGAGCCCAGCAGTGGGACGTATATAGGCTATAACTTTACTTTACTTTTATGTAGCTTTCATTTATTTCTGGTGACTCGATCATTCCAAGTATTAATTTGTTCAACCGTCCAACTTTTGTTACAAACCGGGTCATTCGGGTCGAACATTAAAACAATTTCGAGTTTCAGTACTCTATGACCCGCTTGGCTAATGTCGGCCCTACGACATTACTATACTCTTTGGTTGTAATTCAAAGAGTCGTAAGTTCAAAAAATCTAATTGCAATCATAATTTATACGTGGCAAAGCCACGCTGCAGTTATATTAGTAGTAAAGCTGTAACACGAATGGGTTGGCTCGACCGGGGAAGAACCACGCTCTCACAGAGTAACCAGCGTAAAATAGTAGCTAAATGCTGCTGTGTTTCGTATAGTGAGTGTAGAGAACCGGCGACCCTTTTTACTGTAAACGAGGCATTCTATCTTAGTCCTCAGGGGTGGCAACGCATCTGCATTTTTGTTTGTAATAGAGGATAGATGTAGGATGTAGGTGTCTATGGGCCACAGCAACCACTTACGATCAGGTGGACTGTGTGCTCATTTTTCACCCTATCCTATAAAAAAATCAATATGTTTACTTTTATTAACCTTTATTTATAACTGATTTTATTTTCTAGGATCTCTTATCACAGGATATCCTTGATAAAGTTGTATAAAAATAGTATATTCCTTTCCCCAATTAATCACAATAGGAAGATATTTTTATTATTATTTTTTACTATATTATTTAAAAAAAAATAATAACTACCTGCAAATAGGTTCACGGGTCAAGCAAATAATTTTTTCATTATTTTTTATAAAACGTTACCCCTACACTAGGATTTTCTCCTGTATCGTGGGGGCAGTTTACAAACATAAATTGCACAAGGACAAACATCCAGACGCGGAACAATCCCTTGTTCCGTGCGGGATTCGAACCCGCGAACCCCAGCGTAGCCACTCATTGCTAAGCCCGTGCGCCACGGAGCCGTCAAACAGAAACCAAGACAAGGTTTACATTTTGAGAAGTGACAAGTGTGAGTGACAACTGACAAGTGACAAATGACAAGTGCTTAGAGCGCATTTTATTCCCACTTATCACTTATCAATGCCTGTTCACACGCACTTAGTACTTGTAATTTGTCGGTTGCACTTGCCACTCGCACTTGTCACTTCTCAAAATGTAAACCGGGCATAAGAATTTCATATACGTTATCTTCAATTAAGCTCTCACGGGTTGGCTATTTCATCACCAAATGCATCGCTTTTTAGTCAATATTCTCCATCACCGGTCTGAAATCTGTCGAGAACCAATAAACCAATTTCTAAACATTTTCTTAGTCGAATGAATCAAAGAGGGTAATATAAAACTTTTTTTACAACCTGATGGTACAAACAAAGAACAAATGCGTTGTAACTTCTGAGGACTAAAATGAATTTCCTTACAGACTGTAAACTATGTTAGCTCTCCACCCTTCAGATACAGTTGTATACCTTGGTATACTTGTACCTAGCATGTAAAAATTGCTTATATTCACCACTAGTTAGTAACTACACAGGGCCGTGGTAGCTCAGGGGCTAAGCGCTCGGTATAAATTTCACAGTACGCGAGCGAGCAAACCGGGTTCGATCCCCGCCAGTACCAATGAAATTTTTAATTACAACTTTAAGTGCCGCTTTACCACGTGCTCGGCGTTGAAGGAAAACATTGTGATGAAACCTACATGTCTAAGAAATAAGGAAAAAGATATATCGAAGACATGTGAAGTTCGCCAACGCGCATTGGGGCAGCGCGGGTTGGATTTTCCTTGCCCCAAAACTCTCTCAGAAATGAAAGCAGGCCTTTGCCCAGAAGTGGGACGTACATATACTGTAACTTTATTTTTTAATGATTAAAACTACTTTTACGGATTTTATCGCGTTTATTTTTACTTTTTATTTACTTTTATTTTTAATTCCCGACGTTTCGCTTTCCAGCACCCATGGTCACGGGGGAGTGAGATGACTGACGTCCCGATGTCATTGTTAAACCTGGAGTACCTTCAGCTTTTTTAATTATTGTTTATGGTCCGATCTATGCAAAATGAGCTGACTATGTCCTAAGGTCTTGCAGTGGTATGCTTGGGTTTAGCACTCACTGCAAGACCTCAGGACATAGTCAGTTCATTTTGCATAGATCGGACCATAAACAATAATTAAAAAAAAACTGAAGGTACTCCAGGTTTAACAATGACATCGGAACGTCAGTCATCTCAGTCCCCCGTGACCATGGGTGCTGGAAAGCGCCCGAAACGTCGGGAATTAAAAATAAAAGTAAAGTAAAAATAAACGCGATAAAATCCGTAAAAGTAGTTTTAATCAAGTGTTCGCGTAAATATAAGAAATCATTATTTATTTTTTAACTTTTAGTAAATACAGACTTGTCATCCTCCCACTGATTATCTAGAATTTTTCCAAAGATTTGTTAATGAAATTGATTACTTTGTTAAAAATTTTAAAATATCTCAACCAATTTTTTATGACAATTGTTCTCTAAGATTAAGTTACAGTTAAAACTTAGATAAAATATAGTTCTATTAGTAAGGATCTATAATTGATTTACTATAGCCAAATAAGTGTTATTTTATAGCTGTTCGTCTTCCAAATAAAATAAAATAAATTTATTTAAAATATTTTTGACACATTTCGTTCCAGAATACCTCTCACTTCTGAAGAATCTGAAAGTGGCAAATCAGAAATTAGGTGACGTCGACGGAACACAAGCAACCGTTGCCGAACACACAAAGGACAACAGGCTAGTGACGTACATCTCACCACTTGAACTAAACAGCTCCAGTGTGTTCACGCACAGCTGTGTACTGCTACTCGTCAGTTTAACATTAGCGTTGTTTTATTAGGATTTCGTTTAGTTTCTTTATTATATGAATAGATATGGATAAGAAACGGTGAAATGTCTTCCCGTTTTAAATCAAATCTGGTTTTGTCAAAATTGATACATTTCTAATATCAATGGTATATAATTATTATCAATGTTTTCATTAAACTTTTCAACTTCTTCCCTGGTCATGATATATCTTATTGATCCATATTTATTTATTCTTATTCGAATGAACTAATGCAAAGAGTAAGGATCTTTTACTGATTTTGTAATGTGGATTTGAGTAAGAAAGATTAAACTTTATCTCGTACGGCAATTTGAATTGCACCGTCTTTTTAAGAAATATGTTTCACTGTTTGATAAATTATAATTCTTACTAGTAAAATATAAGTGCGACCAAATTGAGAAAGCATTATTCCTATAATATTAAAAAACATTATTAAAGTCAAATAAGTAAAGTAATTACCATAAATGATTAAGTAATTACCATAAAGATAAATGAAAAAAGGATATTATGCGTACTATCTTTATTAAAAATATTAAAAAATATATAAAACAAATACTTTTTTTTTCTCGTAAATTAATAATATTTAATACATTGTAATTTACTGTAGATTAATTTTTAACAAACTGCCGATACATTTACCAACTTAATTACTGACAATAAACATAACTTAGATATATAAGTGAAAGTGATTTAATTTTAGTTAAGAATACCGTAATTTCTAGTGCCTACTTACTAATTAATAAAATAATAATGACACTAATGCTTTGGCATTTAAGTCCACTAGTCTTAAAAGTAAATGGGTTTATACAATAAGGAACAAATGCTCTTTTTCAAAAGATTTATACCAGACTTTTCTTACTTTGTATATGACGCAGGTTAGGGTTTTCAAGTGTGAAAACAAATCTCATTTTCTATAAAATATGAACCATTACAACATAACCTTGAAATTGTAAGCCAAGTTGTATTGCTATAAGATCTTATAAATGTTTAAAAACTTTCATTAAATTTTCTATATGAAAATAATATTAATGTATAAGTATGTAAATTAATAAAATATCTTTGTCAATTTTCATTTACACTTTTTTTATTATTTAATATATTGTATTCAGAAATTTTCCTACTATGGTGCTTCATAATACGTAAAGATCTTTATAATTTCCCGCTAAATGTAAGGATTTTTCTGCTAGGTAGTTAACAAAATAAATAAAAAGTTAAAATATTATTAAAGTTTCTTTTATTTCAAATTAGGTAATACCCCCGATTTGGCGAGTGCAGTATATTAATTTAAACAATAATTGGATATATATCATATCAAATGAAAGGATTATGTAGTCAAATTCGACAAAAATATATATAATTATATATTAACTATATGTCAATGTTAACCGCTCGCTGTAAATATAACAGAACGCGAGTAACCTGGGTTCGATCCCCGCCGGCACCAAGGAAATTGTTAATTGCAATTTTAAGTGCTGATTTACCACGTGCTCGGCGGTGAAGGAAAACATCGTGAGGAAACCTGTATGTCTGAGGAATAAGAAAAAAATATTTCGAAGACATGTGAAGTTCTTCAACACGCATTGGGGCAACACGACGGACACTTTCTTGCCCTAAAAACCCTCTCAGAAATGAGGGGAGGCCTGTGCCCAGCAGTAGGACGTTATATAGGCTGTAACTTTGACTTTTTTAATGTTAACCAAAATAACATGGTTAATGACACCTTAAGATGTTTTCTCACCAATCAGCTGGTGATTAATCACTATATAGGTACTTATAATTGCATAATCTTGATGATTGTTTTTTCGTGAATAGTAGAAGTAATGTATAACATAAATTGATACGTATTAACTGTTTGTTAGTATATCTCATACCTCTTTTCTTGATATTTTGTTATTCAGTAATTATCACTTATTACAAAGAAGCTGTAAAGATTATTACATGTAGCAGATTTTGACACAAGTCAACTTACGCTTGGGGCATAGCTTGTCTTTTTCCTCTGGGTCCATCTATTGCGAAGAACGACGACAATAACTAGAAAATTTAACAGATATTTTGATTGCGTTTTTGTCGCAAGCAACTATCCAATCCCAAATCTCCTATTAGTGTGTTTATTATACATAAAAAGGCAAGCATTGACTAACGTGGTTTTAGTTAATGAATCCACTTCCACTATAGTTTTCAATTTTGGGCAGTGCTAATATCGAATGTCACCTAGGTAATATTGGCGCTACCATGACGTCATATTTCTAAATAATGCAGTTATATTTTTTATATTACAAATGGCGCGCTTTCAACAGTAAACCTTACCCAGAATCCCAAGTGAAATCTCAGGGAGCGTGGTTTTGGAGGAAACTAGAACACACACTTCGAAATACAATGCCATTTTAAAAGATGATAATTACTTATTGGTTCAGTTTAAATAAAACAATTTAAAGATTTCAGTCTTTTAATAGAATCATTGTAACTGATCAATCTAACATTATTACATACAAGAAAATAAACATTACAATAATATCGTCAAAATAAAATATTCATCACAAAGACATTTCTAACTTTAAGTCGACAATATTCGCTTTAGTATTTAAACGATTTATTGCTTATGTTCAATTCCGATAAATTTCGTTTTGTACTTAAGACAACTAAAAAAACTTATAATTACACACCTCAGACAAATAAAGGAAGATTATATTGGATGCTATTTGTTTTTGCATCGCTTAAAATGTATCTTTAAAATGTGTATCTTTTATCGGTCTGAGTTAGTATTAAAAATATTATAACTATGATTTACAAAACAATAATTACAGTTTATTTAAAAAAAATGTTATGCTACTAACTGACAACTGGTGAGTTTTATTCAAATAAACATTATTTAGTTCGTAAAATATATACGGGAATGACCAATGCTCTTAAAAAATTCTTGAAATTGTTAACTGTGTGCAGTGTGGCAACTAAATTCAGGGCACTTTGACATCTTGTTATGGAAATTGATATGGACGAACGTTGTTAACACTTAACACTGAGCGAACTATAAATACCATCATTATTATTATTACTAAACGAGTCTGCCCATTTACCCTGACTTCGTAGATTAATTTTTTTTTTTTGGTAGTCTCTGCGGCGTTATGTATAGAATTCTCTCCGTCTTCAAGAGGCCAAGAAGATGTGAGGTTTGGACATATACCAGAAGTAAAATATCCAGAAAGGTAATTATTATTTATGCATTACACATTATATTAGGCATAAGTACTTATACGTCAGATATAGTGGAAAAAAGAGATAAATAGAATCGAGGGTAGAACATGAGAAACCCCTCTGTTTTCAACAGTATAAAGATTGACGCCGGCAACGTGATAGTAAAGACAGGACATCTCTCCAATGATACATAAGACCCCGCGCCCCCGTAAACAGACTAACTAATAACAATATGTATCTACATATATAAAGAACCAGGCGATCGTCGTTCCACGAGCTATCCTATGGGTAATAGCCAAGGGGCGGAATCATCCGAAATCCTCAAAGTTACATTCGGAGATACATAACAGGCAATACACGCCAAGAATTGGAATTTTGACATTATAAACAAACAGCCCTTTAGGAATGTTAAAAATTATTATCGTATTTCTGTACAAGACTTGTAGTAGTTGTTATTATTAGTACAACTGAACCAAATTTATAAAACAGATTAGAAGTACAATTTTAACATAACAATAACTGAAATTACTAAAAAAGTCACCGTCGTTTCTAAACTTCGAAAAAAAAAACATATTTTTTGACAAATAATGTTCGTTAGTTTAAAGTACACATTATTTTAATTATTCAGACTCTTTGATAAATTTTTTATTTTTACTGTATTTATAACCAACACAAATAACAAGTTACACTTTTTAAAGCATTACAAACTAATAAAAGTAAAGTTTAATGTAATACAAAATAAAGCGCACCTAGTTTGGTCATTAGAATACAAAAATCTAAGAAGTCACTACTTGGCACAATACTTAAACTACACGTTATCATAATGGCAAGGTGTAAGTGTGTACAACAGTTAAAAGTTGCTTAAATACTTATAAATTATAACTATATATAGTTTAAAATTTTATTAAGTAAACAGGTAACGAACACATTACATTTAAAAAGCCAATCACCAACACACTAAAATTAGAAACCTGAAATTTATAACTTAATAACAAAATGCAATTATTTTATGAAAAATGAAATGAATGGCAAATGGATTTTAACGTGTTATTATTAAAATTCATTTCTGACATACACAAATTAACAAAAAGTTAAAAGTAAAAAATTAACATAAAATCCTGCTTATTAAAAACATTTCTTACTTATCCTTACATTTAAGATCACAGTGTAAACAGGGAATATTTACACATGCGCTGCATGAAAATACGTTAGTTTGTGCTTTATCGATATTAGAGGAATTCTGTGTGTTGTATTTTCGCTTATAATTATAATATGAGTATTAATTTCCATTATACAAACATTAAATCTTCTAACAGAGAGCTAATATCGATATTCCTATAAATAAATAGTTTTCAGATGGCATAGACACAAAAAACTTACGATACAAAAAATATAACTAAACTATTTGTATTTTAATCTAAGAGTAGCTTCAACATCAGTTCTACAAGGTTATTATTCAGAGTGGCCAAATTTTAAAATTAAGTTCAAATGTATAAATAATGATATACCGTTATTGCAGTTTTTGAAAAAAAAAAACGAGTAAATAAGGCTTCTAATTTTATTTGAAATTATCTCTGAAGTGTGATTTATGGGCAACAACGTTTTTGCCTACCGGTCGACCCTTACGAATGTGTGCGTGCACAGTAAAATATGTTAAAACAATGCATTTTGAATTTAAAAGATAAAAAAGACAGAATTTTTGAGACCTTTTTTAACTAATTTTTCTTCACCATTTGTCTATATTACTTATCCTGAACCTTCTCGGCAAATTTGGCCCGTTATTGCAAAATAACCCCGTATAGACTTTTGTTTCTCGTTTTTCGTACTCACTTATCACATTTTTCTCCCGATTATTACATTATTGTCCTCTTATGCGTGACAGAGTACATTTGAAGTGATTTTATTGTGTTTGCTGAATACTTCGTTTGGTTATAACCCAATAGATCTGTAGTAGCTCAGGGTGGTGTAAGCGCTCAAAGCTATACATGCAAACTGAGTACGATACCCGCCAACACTAATATATTGTTAATTACAATCTTAGGTTCTGATATACTACGTAATCAATGAAAAAAAAATATTGTGAAGAAACATGAATGTCTAAGAAATTTAAAAAAAAACGAGAATAAGGACAGCGCAAATTTATCTCTGCTCCGAACTCTGAACACTTGGAAAAATAACTTTTGATTTTTGATATAAAACCACATTTTCTACATTCACATTTAGTTTTTACTAATGTTTCATTCACTATATAAAATGTGACGTATTACACTGGTAACGCAGTTATTTTGATTCGAATTGTTTGAATTAACTTTTATTAAAAACAGTTACCTACTAACTGTGGTCCTTACAGTTAAAGAATTTTTTTTTATTTCGTTATTTAATTTTCTGAACTGAACATATATTTAAATATTTCAAAAATTTTACATACGTAAGAGTAAAAATGGTTTTTAATTACAACTATAGTAAATTTAAAACTGGCGTAATATTTAGAATTTATTCAAGGTGGAACACCTTATTTATTGATATTATGTTAAGAAATTCTTCAATCAGCATAATTGTTTCAACAACTACAACATTAAACTTAAGTTAAAAGGAAATCATTTGTAGGAAAAATATATTTCTTTTACGAAACAATGATAGTCGTAGAACGATTATTATATATAGGAAATATAAATGAAGTATTTTTAATCAGTGACCTGTTTCTCCGATCCACTCTGCCACCCAGAATCCATTGTGTTAGTGTCACTATAGCAACGGTGATGATTGCTCTTTAGAATTTCTTCTTTTGCATCCCTAACTGGTTCGTATTGAGAATCCGGACCCAAGCATTTAGATGTCTCTGGTTCATTTGAGTATACTATATCTTTTTTTCTATCATCATCATCAGATAAAAGTGATTCTTCTGTATTGGGTGATAATGGTGAATGAGCTGGCGGTGGAGGAACAAAGAATTCAGGCTTACTTGAGTCTGAACTAGACTGTCTTAGATGCTCTTTAGGCAAGTTTTTGGGACTAGTTCTAGGCATACGTAAAGGACTAATATGAGTACGCATTTTAGGGCTACCCTCTATACGTATACTGGCATTTAAATCTGACACTTTTCGATCCTCTATTCTACCTTCGCTCATTCTATCAATTCTTGAATCGTTCAAGCGATCCCTGGAGTCTACTCTATCGACTCTAGAATCGTTTAAGCGATCTCTTGAATCTATACGATCTACCCTAGAGTCATTCATGCGGTCACGTGATTCATTCACTCTATCAATTCTAGAATCATTAAGGCGATCTCTATCTATTCTGGAGTCATTCAGCCGATCTCTAGAATCATTAATTCGCTCACTCATGCGAACTTCGTTCATTCTGTCGCTAATACGCGAATCATTTATTCGATCGCTAACACGCGAATCGTTTATTCTGTCGCTAATGCGCGAATCGTTTATTCTTTCACTGATGCGCGAATCGTTCATTCTGTCACTGATTCTAGAATCATTCATTCTATCGCACATTCTCTCACTCATTCTCATAGAGCTGTTCAAATGTTCAATTTGTTGTTCAGTAAGTCTAATTGAACTATTAAGATCTTGTCTTATTTTTTCCTGATTCTTTATGTGTTTTTCATTCTGTCTCGGCCGCCGCTTTGACCCAACTTGCGGTTGGGGTCGCTGTTGTCGAGTGAGTGTAAATGATCCGGTGTCAGATTCTGATGTAGATTCAGGATGATTCTCTATGGTTCCAACAAGAGCAGAAACGTTTGGATTTATACAGCAATCGGCCTGAAAAGACACAATTGTATAATATATTATATAACAATGAAATGCAATCACTTATATTAAACAAGTAATGAATAGGTGACTTTTTAGAAATTTCATATTTTTAGATTATACTATACATCGTTTTGCGATTGCTGATCATGAGGTCCTGGGTTCGAATCCAGGGGCGGGCCAAAAAAATTAATTATTGAGTTTTTCCGTCAAGAAATTCTCAGTAGCTGTCCGGAGTCAGGAAGTTGGCGGTGTCTCACCCCCGTGCCTCGGAAATCACGTAAAGCCGTTGGTCCTGCGCCTGATCTCTCTTTACATAGAATACGGATGACAAACGAGCACACAGTTCACCTGGTGATAAGTGCATGCTGTTGTTACCCATAGACATCTACATTTACCTTCAATTAAGAATCAAAATGCAGATGAGTTGCCAGCCCTAAGGACTGAGATGGAATGCCTCGTTTCCAGTAAAAAGGGTATCCGGTTCTCTCCACTCACCATACGAAACACAGCATCATTAAGCTGCTATTTTACGCTGATATTCTGTGAGACCTTGGTCCTACCTCGGTCGAGCGGACACATTTGTACTGCAACCACAATATGGCTGCAGCATGGCTCTACCACGTCTCTCCGGTTGTGTCGGTTTACCGTTCCATCGGATTATAAGAATGAATAGAGAGTGCACCTGTGCTTGTGCATACACTTGGGCACTTAAATCCTGTACTGCGCCGAAGGCTAGTCTCTGTTGAGGTTGGCTGCCGTGACCGAAATTCGGTCTGGAGAACATTATACATCGTAATCTTTAGATATTGCTCATTTCAAGTAGTTATATATACTCGTAGTGACAAGAAATATTGTTACAATTAGACACTGCTTATAAGTGGGAGAGCCACGCTGCAGCTATATTGTGGTTGTAGCACGAATGGGTCGACTCGACCGGGGTAGGACGATGCTCTCATAGAATACCAGCGTAAAATAGCAGCTTAATGCTGCTGTATTCCGTATGGTGAGTGTCGAGAACCGCAGAACCTTTTTACTGGCTACGAGGCATTCCATCTCAGTCCTCAGGGGTGACAACTCATTTGCATTTCGATTCTTAATTGAGGATAAATGTAGATGTCTATGGGCGACAGCATCCACTTACCATCAGGTGAACTGTGTGCTCGATTGTCACCCTTATTCTATATTTTTTAAAAACAACACTGTTTTTTTGCATTAATAATTGTTTAGAAACTTATATTAATACGGTTCTAAAAATTTCTTTACCATATACATAAAATTACATTATAAAATTGGAAACACGACACTTGGCGCGGTGCAACACCGTAGAGGCAATGCAATATACTTAGCGTTTCTAGTTTCAGTTGCGATATCGCACCATGTGTGTAAACTTACTAAATTTGATATTACACGGTTCAATTTTGGTTCATGCTTTCAATTTAATTTCTTCAATGGCATTGATACATCTAAATACATTTTAATGCGATTGCACAATCTCATTGAAAGCTAAGATTCACCGAACCCTTTCAATGCAATTGTGGCAATATTAGAATTTGATGATTGAACTTTTTTATAATTGAAATTTTTATTAATTGAACCATGTAATATCGGCTTTATAGTGTGCTTTCTCTCTAAGACTCTATGACTAACTGTTATAAGTCGTAAATTCTTAATGCAGACATCAACCTTGTTTTTATAGGATAGGGTGACAAACGAGCACACAGTGCACCTGATGGTAAGTGTTTGCTGTGGCCCATGGACATCTACATCTATTCTCGATTACAAATCAAAATGCAGACGCGTTGTCACCCATGAGGACTAAGTCTTCTTGATAGATTCTCCAGTGAGCATGTAAGCATCGATAAAATATATAACATAAATATGTAATGTAAAACATGTTTTTATAGGATACGGTGACAAACGAGCACACAGTGCACCTGATAAGTATTTTTGTTGTGGCCCATAGACAAATACATATATTCTCAATTACGAATCAAAATGCAGATGCGTTGTCACTCGTGAGGACTAAGATGGAATGCCTCGTTTCCAGTAAAAAGGGTTTCCGGTTCTCTACACTTACCATACGAAACACAGCAGCATTAAGTTACTATTTTACGCTGGTATTCTGTGAGAGCGTGGTCCTTCCCCGGTCGAGCCGACCCATTCGTACGACAACTACAATATAACTGCAGCATGGCTCTACCACGTAAAATTATTATACAACGTAAACCTATTTAATATTTTATGATGTACCTGTAACTACATACCTAATTAATAAAATAAGGGCTTTAATTGCGGTAGTTAATATTATAATAAAATAAATAAATAATAATAAATTTCAGTAAAAAAAAACTGTCAATCGTAGGGCTGCACGTCAGAAGTGAGAACTTCTAAGCTTTCCCGACTTGTAAAATTACTAGTTGTTGTTAAGAAATATTTTTAAGAAGTAGTTTTTTTTTAGAAATTATATAGTAATAATATTTTTATTTATTGCGCTGTTTTACATGAAAAAGAATGGCTATGATCTATATAATACAAAGAAATTTATAAATACATAACAATTTTATAAAATTTTATCAATTGGATTTTCAACATTACTTTCATCAATTTTATGCATCTGAGCGTGACGGTCACGTGAGTTCAGTGCTTTCTCCTCACCCCAAAAGTGCCCAACGTGGCTAAAGTAGTTGTCACTGCAAAACTATTTTACACCTTTCATATAAACATTTTTAAAGTTTACCTTGACAGAAACATTACAGCAACTCGACACATCTGCGAAATATACTTCGGATTCCGCGTTTTGATTGGCCACTCGACAGTCTTGCATTGATGCCCTGCGAATGAAATTATTTATAATACTTATTTAAACTTTCCTTATTAACTACTTTATGTAAAAATGTAAAAAACAGTCCAAGTAAGAGTCACAGCTGGGCACAAGAGTTTTTTTAGAGACATCTTTGAAACGGAAAATAAAGGTAGAGCTGCTTAAACAGTAAGCCGTTTAATTTAGCTGAATTTATCATAAAAAGCGTAAAAACATGTTGAAGTATTTTGTTTTGTATAAGTGAATTGGTATTTAAGTTTAATTATCATTACAAATAATCCGAGTTCATGAAAATAATGCCACCTTATGATCGCATTAGATAACAATATTTAATTTATAATTAGGACGTTAGACCACGGCATTGGACTACCAGCAACATAATATTGTGTCAAACCTTACATGTCAAAATTTAAAAGCACACACGTTTTAAACTACATGTTTTGAAAAGGTCAACGTCAGAAAAGAAAAAGCGTTTTCTGAGAAAATTTTTTCGTATTCTGTATGCGAAAACAAGTGTTACGCTATGCGTTATCGGTTTAAACAGTTTTAAGCAACTATTCACAATTTTATTGATGACGGGGCTCTAGGCTACCACTCCACCCAGTTCTTTCTCATATATCTAACGAAAGTTGTTTACTCTAGCTGAACTGTCATAAAAGTTTTAAATATACTGAAGTAAAATGATGCATACCTTATTGGAGAATGTTTGTCGTTTTGAAAACCCAAATTTTCTTTGCCTTGTTTTTGACACGAATCACTGCTTTGATCGGACACTGAAAATTTGTACATCGAACATTATAAAAATACAATTAAAATAATGAGTAATTGCTATTATCATAATATTCTAAACAATTTAAATTAATTTATTATTTATTCTTAATACTTTTCACTATAATATCTAAGTAATAAACTGTAATATAAGACTTTAGTATAATATTTTAGTTTGTTTTTCATTAAATTTTTTAATTATAAAATCGTTACCCCACACACAACAAGGTTTTCTCTTGTACCGTGAAGGCAGTTATTTATAATATGTAAATGGCAAAACTTTTAATATTGTTAAATAAATTAAAAAGATAAATGCACAATAACCTACGCCATACCTTTGCTAGCACTCTTCTGGTGTAAACATTCTATGGCAACGTTGTCATCTACTCGACAATCTCTGTGCAAGTTTCCAGCACTCATCCCCAAAGACCTTGGACATCCTCTGTACGGAACCAAATGACCACGTAGTGTGCTAAATCGTTCGGGACCTAAATGAGCCATTTCAGCCTGTAAACGAGCAATCTCATTTGCATCTGTCGGGTACATCTGATTCAAATGACTCAATTCTGGATTCAAACGGCTCATTTCGGGATTCAAACGATTCATTTCTGGATTCAAACGGTTCATGTCTGGATTCAACCGACTTAATTCTGGATTTAATCGACTTATCTCTGGATTTAATCGACTTATCTCTGGATTTAATCGACTTATCTCTGGATTTAATCGACTTATCTCTGGATTCATTCGAGTCACATCGGGGTTCATTTGGACGTTCGCATGCATCAGATAGGAACTACGGGCGCATGTATGTGACTGTAGTGGTATATTTGCATGTTCATGTATGGGCATAGAATTCCGATGAACATCTATATGATGATGATGAAGAAGTGTCGCAGCTGCAGGATCTTGGTGATGAAGATGATGCCTAAAACAATTTTTAAAAGTGAAATTGAAACGAAAATAATTAAAATATTTTATTACATTAAATCGATATATGATTTTAAAAAATAAGGTACACCAACCTGCTACCACTTCTTCCTTGAGGACTGTATGGAGGCGGAGGTCCCCAAACTCCAGTCTGAGCATCAAAACTTCCACTAGCCTCGCCGAAACCCTCTTGATACCCCTGCGTAAACCCACCAGTTTGTCCAAAATTAACCTGGCTTTGAACAAAATTTGCCGGGTTTTGTACAAAATTGGGATTTTGAGTGAAATTTCCCGAGCTTTGTGCGAAATTTGATGGGCTTTGTGAGAAGTTGCCCGAATTTTGTCCGCGTTGAAATGGTTGATTGAAATTTGTTGGGTAGGAGCGCTCATCGTATGGTTGTGTTGCATTTTGAGGTGTTGGATCGCTTTCACAGAATCCGTAAGCACTGTCGCCTGATTGTGGAACGCCACCCATGCGACATCGGGAGCTGTAAAGTAAAAGATATACATATTACTAATTCAAAAGAATATTATATGTTTAATTAAAATATTATAATGTAATACCTACCATAAAAAGTAACAATTTTACTAAAATGATTCTTATCTTACAGCATTTAAGGTACAAATCATCTAATTAACAATAAAACCTTACGGTCTATTTTAAACATTTCCTCAAGTCAACCAAAATTATTCGATGTCGACTATTAAACAAATGAGTTAATAGCAGATGCTAACATCGTCGATAAATAAATTATGGAAATTATCAACATCATTCTTCATCTACCCGCGAAAAATCTACTGCAAAATAAAGGGTTCAGCCCATAGTACAGAGACTATAGCTATACCACTAAACTCTCAAAGGTCGCACGATTTTTGAGATATTTTCGTTAGCCGACTCCTACGACACTCAAGACAAGAGACTAGAGACAAGACAGAGCGACTCCCTTACGACAACACAATATGAATTTCTATTCTGTATCTATTTTATACAACTTACTTTTGACTGTTGCTCCGTGGCCAAGGAAACCAGCTCCACGGAGAAGTTTTTCGTGCAGTTCCAGGATTTGGTGAGTATAGATTCCCTATGCGACCTGAAAAGAAATAAATATAATAAATGAAAGTCAATTTAAAATAATAGCAGACAAACTTAACATTGTCACTATTTTATACTAATGGCACATAAAATATTTAAGTTTCTAATATTTTTTAAGTACACATAATGAGTACCCCTTTAAAAAAAACAAGCCGAACTAATCTTCGAACAAACCCTAGAATGATTATACTTTCATCATCAATCACCAATAAATACGCATATAAATTAATAAAAAATAATTACATATACAACAAAATCACAAATAGGTGCCATTTAATTTAATTTATTTTTTATGTAGTAATAGTGAAAATTAATTCACCACAAGTCATAAAAAAGTTAAATATCATTCTACATAACACACAGCCAGGCCTCCACTCATTTCTGAGAGGGTTTTACTTTTGATGCAGCCTTAATGCACCTCGGTAGATTTTACACGTCCCCTAAATATTTTAATCCCTAGACAAGTAGTTTTACGAAAAAGACAAGTGCTTATTTATCGCAAATAGATAGCTATCGCTAGCTTTTACAGATTTTATCGTGTATATTTACTTTTTTATATTCCTGATGTTTCGAGTACTTTACAGCCCCCGTAGCGCGAGGGGACAGAGATGTTCAATGTCCCATGTCTTAGTTAACTACAGATACCTTCAATTTAAAGTAATGGATTTTTGATCCGATCTACGCTGAATTAGCTTATAGTATCTGAAAATCTTGCATTTGTATGGGTTGGGATTTAATTTTATTAATTATAGGATCCCAAGCAGATATCAATAGCCTCGCGAATCAACCTTTAAAGGAATCGGTGTTCTTTGAAAATTTGTAGTCTATCAAATCTGATGTAGTAACGGGGGCGATCCTGTACTTAGTCTGCAGACTTCGTTTAGCTATTCTTAGTCTGCAGACTTCCCGAAGCGTCGATACATTATATCAGCTATGTGTTTTTTACGCGGATTTTTATTAGTCATTTGCTTTTTTCTATGTAAGACACTGACCTCTATATGTTTCGCTATATGGACTAACGCAGCGTCGATTTTTGTTTTATATGAGGTTATAAAGCTTGTGTCTAAGATATAAGTATTTATTGATATACATTCATTTAGTGTATATTAAAATGATACATAAATCGATATTTTTTTCCCACTGTCCTATCTCTATTATTAATTCCGTGGAAGCTCACTCGCGCTACCAGCGCCAAAATGGTGAAAATTAAATCACCTCATTATGTCACGGTGTATAACCAGTCTTGCATACTTATTTATTAGAGGCCAATGTACGTGTAAGATCATACAAATTGTACGTACCTGGCGCCCAAAATCGATGTTGCAAGCTGAAATCCCAAGCCGGCTGCGCGGTGTGACATTGAGCACAGCAGCTGCAATTATTCTGCAAAATAAATTACGGTGTGTTAATAACCATAGAGAATTCTTAGAGAACAGAAAGGGGATTCGTGATTTTTATTTCTTCTTATCATTCTTTGCCTGCCATTAATCCACGCCTGGACATTAGGCTCTGGATTGTAGGGAGCATTTGCCTTAATCATCATATTCAGCATCCGAATCGAGGATCACAATGCCCAAACTGTATATAAATCACTATGTTCAGTAGTGCCAGACAAGTGGCACCTTTGCCGTCACTCCCCGTCACTGATGATTAACAACAAAAATAACAAACGAAATTATTTTAAATCCGACGTAAACGAAATAGTTATAGCGCCATCTATTGTATGCCATAAGATTTTACTAACATTTCCCATAGCCGTCTCTTACTACCATAGAATAGAAAGAAAGAAAGGAAGAAAGATTTATTGCAGCACACCACAAACATCAGTAGGCACTTAAATTTTAACATTTTTGTGGACACATCAATTATTAAAAAAACACCATAACAAACAAAAAAATAGGAAACAAAACAACAATTTGACGGATAAAACAATTTAAAAGTATGTATACCTTATAGATAATAATTTAAAAAAATAGAAAGACAAAAAAATCGTTTCTCATATTGTACGAGTATTTTGTGGCGCGTCATACAAACGGACACAATAGAATACACAATAGAATATATAATACACAATAGAATGGCTGTCAAACTTATTTTGTACGAGATTCCGCGTCGCCAGGAGCACGCATATACGCAATTACGTCGTATTATCACTATTTTAAACCCGATTCGCTGTTTTGATAAACTGAGTAAATTTACACATTTTAGACTTTTAATTAATATTCAAATTCATCATTTAAAAAAATTGTTTAAATTTTAATACATATTTATTTGTAAATAGCGTGCAATTTGATATTTTATAAATAATTTGCATGCGAAATTTGAAAACGATTGTTATGTCAAAACACATCTCGTGTTGACATTTATGCGTGTGAATTGACGTGTTAGTGACATTTTAGTGGCTACACGGGCTCCACCCACTCCCCCGTTCTATTATGTATGTATTATAGTATTCTATGCTTACGACAACCACGTACTAAATTATGGATTCTCTTTGCCGCCACCATACGGCATAATTTTTATTTTGACGATGTCGATTCGATTTGATTCGACGGCTCGATAGCGCAACGGCTAAGTGTTTGACTACAGCTCTGCGAGCCGCGGGCTCAGTTCCCGTACGATATAAGTGTTTGTATGGAATAATAAATAATTTTTCGCGGTCTGGATGTTTGTCCTTTTGTAATTTTTGTATGTAAACCGTCTCCATGATACAGAAGAAAATGATAGTGTGGATGGGGACAGTGGCGAAGCTTCCATTAAAGCCGAAAAGCCGGGCTTGCCTTATTAAATCTGAATCAATCAATAATATCAACTAATAAAATAACTCGTAAAATGTTTCAAGCTATTTCAAATTTCCCGCGCACTCCACTGTTCGACACATGTCGACCGATGACCTCGTATTGCCTTAAGCGCTTATTACATTATACAATTTTTAGGAAATCTAATTAGGAAATAGGAAGGTGTAATCGTAGTTAGAACAGTTAGGATCCGATTTAGTCAAATTGGAGGTCCCAATCGCTCTACTTCCTAAATTGTTTACAATTTAGGACAGTGTAATCGCAACGTTACGATTTAGAACAACAAGTCGGTGCCCGCGCATTGATACAAGCGGATGTCTTGAAGTTTTGATAGAAGTCTGATATCAGAGAGCAGTACTTTAAATCTTAATATTAATTTCCGGTGGCTATAAAACGTAATGTCACCATCAAACATTCTTTGGTACTCACACTTTATCGAAATATCGTGACTTCTTTTTCAATATGTTTGGATACCAAACTTAACAAATATTCAAACTGTTTATAGGTGGTAGAGCCATGCTGCAGTTATATTAGTAGTATAGTTGTAGCACGAATGGGTCGGCTCGACCGAGGAAGCACCACGCTCCCACAGAATACCAGCGTAAAATAGTAGCTTAATGTTGCTGTGTTTCGTATGGCGAGTGTAGAAAACCGGAGACCCTTTTTACTGGAAACGAGGCATTCCATCTTAGTCGTCACAGTTGACAACGCATCTGCATTTTGATTTGTAATCGGAGATAGATGTAGATGTCCATGGGCCGCAGCAACCACTTATCATCAGGTGGACTGTGTGCTCGTTTGTCACCCTATCCTATAAAAAAACTGCTTTGAATCTAAAAATATATAATTATATTCTTAGAGTTTTTTCAATGACAAGTACTCTTTTCTCTTTTTTTTAATATCCATTGTTCCCACCACGGCTAAGGCAAGTCCTATTTTCTGCTGTTTTGATAAATACGGCGCCATCGATCAAACGTGCAACCCCGTCGATACTTCTTTACGAATGCGGTTCGTCACGATTTAGAATTCAATTTAGTGTAGTGTGATCACTAGCTTCCAATTTAGGTTCCTAATTAGATTTCCTAAAAATTGTATAGTGTAATAAGCGCTTTAGCGATACTGCTGCTGTCATAAAAAATGAGTTTTAATAGAGCTAATAGTTGTCTCCCTCGCTCGCGTGGGCTTTTTACGGGGCTTTCGAGAAGACGATTGCTCTCTTTCTAACCTATGGCAAAATATTCTATAATGAAATATAACTACGAGATTTAAAGCCAGGCTTTTGGGAATAAATTTGTTTAAAGCGGAGGCGCGCGGGCAATACGTTTGCAAGTTCATTTCACGTTTCAATGTTTATTTACTCTGTGTGCTTATCTTAAGCGATTTAATATTACGAGTTCAAAATTTATGCTTTTTTAAAGATTTTTAATGAAAATGGAGGATAATAGTGATGAATTGAAGTGTGTTAAAGTGATAATCGGAGAGGAAATCTTTAAACTTTGTTGAGATAATACACAAGGTTAAGAGTGTATTTCAAACTTATTAATTATCGCAATTAAAAACAGTTATTGGTACAATTAAAACGTTCACCAACATTTTACGTGGACGTAATTAAATCTTTCCATAAGAAAGCGAGACGATTCCACTTATCTTATCTTATCTCTTATCCATTAGAATGTAAATAATTTGTTTTTTTTTTTTTTTTAATTTTGTACATAGTTTGTTTGTACTTTGTTCGTGTTTTACTTTTGTTCATGTATTGTATTGGATGTAAATATTTTTTTTCTTTCGCTTAAACAAACCCAAACGGCTTTCTTCAAAGCCACCGAAGCTATGCAATTGCTGATATGTAATACAATCTATCTAGCAGTGGTATACCTTCTGTGTGCTTTGTTAAACACGTCCTTGACAGCACTGAATATGAAACTGAAGCGAAGACAGATCAAGATTGGTGTATTTTTATAAAACTGCTAAAAACAACAATCCATATTTTTATCAATTTATATCTTGGGCTTGCCCTAGCTTGGAGCTCTAGCTTCGCCACTGGATGGGGAGACGGGGGAGAGATGTAATTTAAAGTCTTCCAAAGATAAATAAAATAATAACATAGATTGCATTCACTATTTGATAACTGTTTTACTGATTAGTGGTCAAAATACACACTTTAAAGCAAGTATGACAAATTATTAGCTTTAGGGTTTAGCGTTTTGTGTTTATCTTTATTTGTTTATCAAAATGAGATACAGTAGCTTAAAGGCTACTTAAATATCCTCATTTAAGAAAGAAAATGTAGACCTAGAAAGTTGTCACCCCAGAGGTGTAAGAAGAAATACTTCATTACCATTAATAAGTCACGACTTCGAACAGCAGCAGAATTGTGCTGCAATTTTACGATTGTATTTTATAAGAGCATTATCCTTTCCCGGTCGGGCACACCAATTTTACGAGCTATAATACAGCTGCAATAATATAACATGGCAAAGAAATAACTTAGTTTGATATTGCACAAATTAACCTTTATAAAATTAATAAGGCTTATATCTCATACAACATGACAGAGGAATATCACTTGAGTAAGTTTGTTTATAGTCAAAAACTATACTGTTTACTCTTTCGTTTGTAATGTTTACAACAAGAGAGAACAATAGTTCGCCAATATCTGCTTTCCTATTCGATAACAATGTAGGAACACAAAGTGACTAATACATATTACAGAAAAAGAATACCAACAGGAATGAGATACACTATTTACTGCGCTATACTTTTCTATCCTCTTTTCCATAATATTACATTTTAAAAATTAAAAACGAACGTTTTACACATGAACGATTGTGCGACTTTTTTATTTTTCCTGCATGATAGATACATTTAATAAGCATAAAGGCAATCAATAATTATTTAATGTATTATAGACTAATAACTACTAACTAGTTACTAGACAATATAAGAACAAATAAATACAAAAATAAATAAATGATAAAGCGTCAGTTAGATGTAGTTTTGGTGATCAACTTTTAGGCTTAGCACGCACCGCGATTAAACGCGAGCGGTTTAGGAATAGCTGAAAACGCAAAACCGCATACGATCACGCACTGCGGTTGGAGTTTTGCTTAATTTTATTTCAGTACCACCATGGATTTCGGGCGAGTAGCGTGTGTTGTGGCTTTGGTTTTTAAATTAAGAAATAGAAAACGTATACAACGCCGCCACCATAAGTACGGGGTACATCTACTAACAGATAAAAGACATCTGAAAGGATGCTTTTGCTATTAATTAGCACCGTAAATATCGACTGTCCTCTGCGTTCGTCTAGAAACCGAACGCGGTTAACCGCAGTGCTTGCGCCGCCATACTATTACTATAGGACACATAAAAATTGCGCGTTTACAAACCGCGATCGAAATGTAGCAAGTTTCGTTTTTAAAATCAATCACTGAAAAAAGTCGCCAATGCGTGCGCTTGTATAGAAAACTATGTGTTACATTTTTTTTACGGTTTCAGATGTGCAATTTAACGCATGCGTTTAATCGCAGTGCGTGCTAAGCCTTACGGCTGAGTACCGTATCCTTTTTTTAACAGCGAGAATGAGCTAATTCAGCACGCTTTACTATCTCCCGCCCCATCTGCACTTATCATCAGTTTTATCTTATGTATATATTTAGTTTCATCAGTGATAGTAGTTTAGCACTCGCTTACATAACTTAGATTTTCAAAAATAAAATTCAACTAACTACTGGTGCAGGTCTCCCAGCTGTGGCCACACCTTGGCCAGTGGGTGGACGGTATAGAGATCTGCACCTGAGCTCCAGTTGCTCCCAATACATCTTCTTGCGTTCATGGCTGAAATAAAAAGATTCATAACTCAATTTAAGAAATAATAATTAAAAATGTCATCATTACGTCCACCTGGAAAGCTATTCGTTACGGCACGTTTTCAGTTTCTAACATAAATAAATAATAAATAAATAAATATCACTTTATTGCCACTTTAAAAAACATGTTTACATATAAACTAATTACTTAACCTTAATTAAATTTAGGCAAACGGAGGTGACTCAGCTTTTGCTTACATGGAACTAAGGTCCCATGAAGCGTTGGTTTTCAGGCACTCCTTCCTCCCTGAGATGTTACATGCGTGTTATGAGAATTTGGAGTTCCCCAATCACCTCTATTATTTACTCATCAAAATTATTGAAATTTAACATACTATGGTTGTGAAATTTCATAATTATTTATTAATAATTCTTGCATTCGTGCGTGCATGCGTGCGTGTGTGCGTGCGTGTGTGCGTGTGTGTGTGTGTGTGTGTGTGTGTGTGTGTGTGTGTGTGTGTGTGTGTGTGTGTGTGTGTGTGTGTGTGTGTGTTAAAATTGTAAAAAAAAGTGTTAAATTAAAACCTAACAATTTTAGGACGAATTAGTTATTACGGCCTTATTATTACTATGATCCATACAGTGACATGTTACTGGAATTTCTCATGATCACTAAAGCCTATGAAAAGTCTACCGACGAACATAGGCCTCTCTCATACATTGACCTCATCTGTGGAAATTTGCCATAGTTGCCAGTTTTTTAATTATAATTATAAACCCATCTTCTCTTTCAGGTTCCTTCTGTCGCCTATTACGACATCCACAGCGTAACTGAGTTTAGAAAAACGTCGATACTATAAGGCAATGTTTTTAATTGTGATACGTAATTGTATTTTCAAAATAATTAATATTTAAAAACGTTAAAAGAGATTTTTTTATGAACGGATTAGACATCTATTTAAAATTTAAAGATGCCTTTATTTATAATCTATGCCTGGCATGCGTTACCCATCTTTTTGTCAGATTAGCGCCGCACGTCATCTTACCAAAGTTTCGTAATCAGACATATGATATAGAAACGCAAAGAATATAAAGAAACAAACAATTTTTGTTACAAACAAGCACAACTCACCATTGGGATGCGGTTATCGGATGAATGGTATAGGAACACGCAGAGGATGAACAAACAAACTCACAAGTATTTATTTTATATATTAATTTCAATGAAAAAGTTTTGACAAATTTGTTAAATTTTAATAAGGTAAGTATTTATTAAACACTTAGAGAAACTACATACCTAGTCGTACATATGTATGTGATTTCTCTAAGCGTTGAAATTAAACCTCAAGCACTGAAAGGAATAAAGGAAGTTTAATTATTAATGTTAACTGTATCCATAGTAACTACCTAGTCGCCCTTGACAACCGCCAAGTTTCACTTTATAAAAATAAAGAAAAGTTCGTTCAAATATAGACCTTATTTTAAAGTTCTTAAGAAATTACACTACTTGTAATATGTGAAAACACAAAATGGTTTCTTGAGTATTATCTATGCTTTATTATAAGCAACTCCCTTCTAATCTGCTATTTGATAATCTTTTACTCAGTTATTTTTAAGTATTTTTTATTAAAATTATGTCATTATCACAATCAAATGTCAACAGAAGCTTTACAAGTCAAACTTCAAGATCAGTGAGTCAGATCACCAACGACGTTGAAGAGTTAACTGACGAAGAGTTGTTAAAACAGGTGAATGATTTAAAACATCAAATACGAATATTAACTCTAGAAAATGAGATATTTGAACGAACAATGATGAGATTAGATCCAACTTTGTTAAATGGAATACAACAAGCCTTAGAATTTGCGAGTAAATTACAAACTAGTTCCTCAATAAACGTTAGCAGTTTCGTTAAATCACAGACTTCAAAGTTATTCTTTGATTCTTTGACCAGTCCTTCTAGAATGCTTGTGAGCCCTTCTAGAGTATCTTCTAAAAGAGCAGAATCTTCAGCAAGAATTGGTGGCACTGTTATGTTTGGAACTGGTCCACGAATTAATGTTTTAGAAAGATCAGAACTGGTATCCATCGAAATGGAAATTTTAGTTACGAATTTGGAGAAAATGAGAAAAAAGGCTGCTAAGCAACACGCTTTATTAAAAGCACAATTGGAAGAAATTGAGGTACGAGTCAATGATATACAGAAGGCAAATGAAACGTTCAACCAAGAAGTTATAGTTGAAGGCTGGGATAGAATAGCACAAAGGATTCCCGCTGAAATTTGGATCAAGTATATGAATGAATGGGTTAAGATAGCTGATAGTAAAATTAGCAAACTAAGACTCCGAACTAGTACTTTAAACACTCAGTACAGTAAATTAAAAGGGCAAATAAAAGAGAAAGCGGAACTTCGCGAAAGCTTAAGACCAGTGGATTTTGAAAAAATTAAAATAGAAAACGACGAATGTTTGGCAATTATAGAAAATAAACTGCAACAATTGGCAGAATTAAAAAAAATGACTGGAGATGCAAATTTAACTCTAACTATACACAAGAAAGCTTTAATGGAGCAGGATAAATATTTGACTCAAATTCTAGACAACGTAAAAATTAAACAGAAGCAAACCCACAATTTGAACAATGAAACAGAAATAATACAAATACAAGCTAAGAGTTTAGAAGAAAGATTAGAGGGCATCAAAAAATTAAGAATGACATACGAAGTTCCTGACATAATGGACTATGTTTGTGTGAAAGCAGAAGTGACAGATTTAAAATATAGTGTAAAATTATTGCAGAACAGACTTCGTCTACTTCAAATTGCTCTTTCATCCCAACACAAGAAACTAATAAGTAATGTATTTGAATAGTAAATTTATAATCTGAATTTAAATAAATGTATGTTTAAAGAGATTATTCTTTTTCCTTTTATGCAACATATTTCGAGATTTGAAGATATAGTTCGAATAAAATTTTAAGTGCATATATATTATAAAAATATCTTCAAGAATATACGTATAATCTTCATACATTAGTCTTTTTTATTTTAAATTCATCAGCTCATGCTACTGTTGGACTTGGAGCTCCCCTACAATAGGGGTATTTGTCTTTATAACCACGTGGATTACAGAACCAACCAGTTGCTGTTCCTTGTCACTTGTAATAGGTATATAAATATCAAGCATAAAATTCCAATTACATTGGCAAGCTAAGATCAATTGGTAAAGACTAACTGAATAATTAAAATTAAACTCTGTATGTGCAGTCATTTAGACGGCGTATAACACAGTCAAATTTGTTTCATCAATGAGATTATATAAATAATAATAGAATTACTGCATCTTCAACAGAGCTGTATTTGATAAAAAAATATATGTGAGGAGTCCGAACAAAGTAAATAAGCTATATTGGCCGGATTTTTTATAAATCAATCAAGCATTTAAATTGTCATTGTCTCCATAGAATTCTCTCATTACTCAGACTACACATTGTTTAAATACTTCAGTAAAAACTAAATTTTCATCAGCAATTAAAATGTTAACACCTGTATCAAAGTCATCACAGCGCTTCACAAGTCCTCTGCTACACATAGGCCTTACTCAAAGAAAGCCACACAACACGGTCCTGAGTCACCTGCAAACATCGACTTCTTGTACGACGTACCAAGTCGCCACTCTAGGGGGTGCCCTAGATTTAACTTATCGTGCCACTAGAGACATCTTTTTTGTCCATCGGTTGTCTGTTTTTCAAGCTATAAATATGGCCAGCCCATTTCGGTATTATTACATAACGGTTAATCTTGTTCTTCTGCGGATATCTTGATTGCCGATTCTATCACACAAAGTAACTTCGTATGCCCTCTGAACCACCTTAAGATTCCTCATACACCAGTAAGAGGCCTCGTATTTATCATCATCATCATCATAATCATTCACAAGTCCAGACCACTGAACATTAGAGATTGGCCGAATATTCGTCTTATATTCGGTATTCGGCATATTGGCAATTTTACCGAATATTCGTATTCAGCCAAATATTCGGCTAAATTGCCGAACATTCGTTAAAGTTGTACTCGAAGTGTCTACTGTATTGAAATGTTGGAATTGAGTAATGCCATGTCTTTCATAATTTAATGTTGAAAGTATATCTTATTTATGAGTTAAATCTACTTGTATAGCGTTATGTTTTTGAGGCACTGTAGATTTATTTCCAACTATAGCAAATAGAAGCTTGATGAAATGTTTTTGGAATTAAACAAAGAAATATTACATTAGTACATTTCACTTTACTTTGGTCGTCAGTTTCCCTAAAATAAGTCCAAATAGTAGATCTCCTGCCACTCATTTTTATCGTATATGAATATAAATTTTCGGTAAGAATAACCACAATGAAATACTTTTCTCTCACAATAATAGTCAAAACAAGCATGAGCCGGCAATTTGCTCAGAACTAGATGATGCTAAAACATGATTGGTGTGGCGGGGAAGGAAGGGGCAGGGTCCGGCGCTAATCCCGCGCGCTTTACGGTAACAAGTTTCGACATAAATTGGTTAGGTACCGAGGTGATCCCACCGAATAAAGTTCGGCTGAATATTCGGTTCGGTAAAAGGTATACCGAACATTCGGCCGAATATTCGTATTCGGTAAAATCTATGTTCGGCCCAATACTACTGAACATAGGCCTCCCCCAAGGAACGCCACAAAGCACTAGCTACATATTATGGCAGGTGGTCACTCCATCTAGTGGAGGGAGGAGCGCCTTACACTTCGTCTACCGGTACGAGGCTGCCACTCGAGAACCTTTCATCCCCATCTTGATGTCTTTATCATAACCGTAACTATTTATTCGAATAGCATGCCCTGTTTTGATATCAGGTATTTCCTCAAGTTAATAATATTATTTATCCCAGAAAAGTTCTCTAACATCTTTTTTCTTTTTTCTTTTCTAAAAAGTATTGGTATCTGCCTGATAATTACTATGACGTTGTAGACTGCTCTAAAATGTAGCTTTAAAATAAAAAAACACTCAAATAAAACAAACATAAATTATTTAATACTTTGTGCTTGCAAAGTAACCTAACCTAACTCTAAAATAACTACTATTATTTAAATAGATCGCTAGATATGTATGACGTGGATCAGCACTTTAATTTATTTGGATTACAGATGACGCTACTCGTATTCTATTGCAATCCAACTGAGTCGATACCATAGATCTGATAAAAGCTCGGTACTACCATCCAAACTGTTTCTGCTGTTTACAGGGCTCGGTATGATTCGCAAAGAAGCTTTTTTATATCCGTTTTGAGTCATTCGATCTTAGTCACCGAGAATTTGCTTTGTAAGGATTTTTTTAATTAAAATCAACGAAATAAATAAGCAAACTTACAGTCAATCTGATCAAACTTCAAACAAGGAACACTACAGATGAGTTGTCACGTTCGAGGACTAGGACTAGGACGAGGAATGCCTCTCAGTCTTAATATACGGGCTCTCCATACCTTTCAGACCGAAACACAGCAGTGCAGGTTTTTTTTATAGAATAAGTATGACAAACGAGCACACAGACGTTGTGGCCCATAGACATCTACATCTATCTTGAGGACTAAGATGGAATGCCTCGTTTCCAGTAAAAAGGGTCTCCGGTTCTCTAAACTCACCATACGAGACACAGCAGCATTGAGGTGCTATTTTACGCTGGTATTCCGTGAGAGTATGGTTCTACCCCGGTCGAGCCGACCCATTCGTGCTGCAACCATAATATAGCTGCAGCGTGGCTCTACTACGTAAAAGATATTGCTATTTGGTAGCGGGAATAAGTAAGAAAGTGGTGGTACCACCACCTGGTAGTTTAAAGTAGGTTGCATACGTTCGTGAACTGCAGTAGCCACTTACTATATTAGCTGGTTCTTCATTCTTATGTTATAAACAAAAGTAAAGTTTTCGAAGGTTGACTACAGCACAAATATTTGCAAAGAGGTTTATTGAACTTACCTAAGTAATTGGTAAGCCAACATGCAACTAAAGATGCACACGAGTACAGCGCTGACGGAGAGCGCGAACACGCCGCGCAAACACCAGTACAGCGCTCCGTGCACCACGCCGCACTCCGACACGCCCTCGAACACACACCGCACTCCTGGCGGATATCGTGACACTTTTGATAAAGTCAAAAACTTTCAAATTTGTAGGTAAACCTAGTTTAGAAATCGGGGTTCATGACATTCTCTGATCCAAAAGTGCATTTTAATATGGAATATTATTTTCTTTTTTTTTTTTGCTTAAGCAATAAGTACATATAGCTTATGTATCAAGTAAAGAACTTAACTAAACCGAGTTCGATAACCGCTAAAATTATTAATTTTTATTTTAAGTTCTGATTTACCAGACACTCGAATAGAAGATGAGTGTATGTCGAGGTATTAGGACGTCAGACAAAACATACGATAATTTTAAAAATACAGAAGTAACACGACAAATGTACCGTTGTAATTTTAAATAATATTAGGTATAAACTTTTATATTTAGTTTTAGTTAACTTGTTGTATGCCACAAAGTTTTTGGCATACCTTGGGGGAGGCCTATGTTCAGCAGTGAACTTGTGAAGGGCTTTAATGATGATGATGATGATGAACTTGTTGTAAAAAAGGCCTCCCTGGCATATGCCAAGCGTTATAATATTTGAATGATTTCCACCATAGCACAGAAGACTCTCACTCTCTATCGACAGAAGAATGCTAACTTTATACAAAAAAAAAAGAAATTCGGTCTATTTTCTAAAATATTTGCGTTACTGTATTTGTACTGTCATTTTAAGAGCGCATCATAGAATAATAACACCTAGAACGATAGTTCCCTACAAAGCGGACGTTCTTAAGTGAGGCAAAAACAAAATCTATGTGTGCGTAAGCCACTTGTGTTTACGCTAGACGAAACGCACTCAAATGAAAAAATAATTTTGCCAATACATTAAATTTTCCCCAAAAAGTAGGGAAGTTGAAACTATATTGGACTAATAGTTACGACGTAACGTATGACTGATACAAATGTGAAAATAAGTTTTTTGAATTCTGTTATCGAAGTGTAGCCCGCCAAATTCAAAATATTCTTGAATAGCGCATTTGCCTGTCTTGCCAAGTGAGATTTTTATGAGCCATCGAAATGTGATTGCATCATATTTTTCTTTGTTACTGTATAGGTTATAATAAATGTATACGTTATAATTATATGACTAATGCAAGTTCGATATGCACACACGCCCTATACCCGACACATGACTGTTCGACGAACGATTGATCGAATTCAGTATATATTATTCAGTTTGTTTTTAACTATTTTTTTTAAATAATTGTTGAGTAATGGTGTACCGCACCTCACTGCATGCATGATGTAAGCTACATTACGAAAAACACAAGATCATTTTAATTTTGGCAGGTTTCACACAGTAGATGCATTTCAGCATAAAGTGATTGGGAAAAATTTATTAGAAAAACACAAATAAAAATTAAAATCATTTATTTCAGTAGCCTTGTAACTGCAACTGTTTCCTGAATAACTGACGCTTTGATGATACGAATCGTAAAGTATTTTCTTTTTTTGGATTCATAGAACAGTCTAATTCTTAAGTAGCGCTCGACAATAAGTCTCATCAAATTCGTGTCATGGAAGTGGGAGTTAACCTGTTCTATAGAAAATATACGAGTTCCTCCTATGAATCTTCTCATAATTAGAAGTGTGATTTCTTTTTCGGAAATATTGCCTGGATTTTCTTTTAGATAACGTCTCAGAACAGTTTCAATAACACTACAAATAGAATAAACTTCTTTTGAGGCGTAAACCAATCCACCTTTATCCCTCATACATACTAATTTATGGAACCAAAGTTTCTCTTTTGCAAGCATGTTATCAATGCAATATTTACATTTTACTCGGGTTGTGAGATGTCTAGCTACATTTCCAGCTATATAGCCAACAATGTGGTTTCTGCAGTTAGGATCATCGCTACCCGATGAAATTTCGAATCCGACATCATTTGGAATCGGTGTTTTCAATAAGTGTTCAGTTAATTCTTTTTCTTCATCATCAAATCTTTCGGAAAATGAAGTATTATTGATGCAAGTTAAAGCAGATGAACATGTTAAAATAGGTATGTTTTCGAGTGGCACGCAGTTACCAGTTTCACTTACTTGCAGTTCCATGCGGCAGAGCAGTTTTCTGTAGCTACCCTTAAATTGTAGAGCGTTTGGATTGTCATTATGACCGCTTTGCATTCTTATCAATCCAAAAAGTAGCTCAATATGGTCCTGGCTCAACCTGTAGGTTGTAATATACTCCAGTTCCTTTGTATCTTCAACTAAGGTATTATATAAGTACTTAAGGCTCTCTATGCAAACTAACAATCCTTTAAAGCCAGGAGAGCACTTTACAGTAAGGGCCGATTGGAAGCTTTTGATTTTGAGATTTATTGAACTCTCTTTTTCATTGTATTTGCGCTTTCTAGTAGTTTTAATCTTTAAGTGAAGTATATATTTTTTGGTTTTCTCTAAAAAATCAAATATTTCCTTTTTATTGGAATTTGAAAGGGGATGGCAAAAACCATGTTGTGTTAACCTTCTCGTATTAAAAATATCGAACAGGTCGTTGAAAATCATGATAAAAATTTCTGTGCCCTTACTATTCTTGAAATCGTCCAATTTCAAGACTTCGCGGCAAAATTTCAGTGCCACTGCTACACTTCTGCTAAGTAGTTGAACTGCTAACTTTATTTTCATAATAGAGTTTCTAAACTCGAGATGTTTACGCGTGAGTTTATTAGCAATGTGTAAACCTTCTTTTTCTTGAAAGTCATTTAATTTTGTTAAAAATTCCCAGTCCACTTTATTTTCATCTTGGTCTAAGAATACTTTTTTGTCTTCGAAATGATTCCGAACCAGTTTGATCATATGACTGGAATCTAAAAACACCGCTACCTCGTTATTAGCTGCTGGGTGTTTGAATGTAGTTTTCATATTCTCTACGTCCTTTAGTCGGCATCCTAATAATTCCATGGCTGATATATTTGTCGAATGTGCGTTAAATGTCAGAGCAACCACTTTTACGCCTACCTCTTCACATTAAGTCAGGCATATTTTTATCAGGTTAGCTTTTTGCCCCCCGGTAAGACCATGCACCAAAAAATATCCCAATGGGATCTTCCAGTGTTCATTCAAGCACACAAAAATAAAAGTATAAGCTTCCCGTAGCCTTTGTTTTACAATCAGATGTACCTGTGCCAATGTCTACACGCCCGTGGCCTCCTTTTTATATTTTGTGGTCGTATTGCCATTTCATCTGCCACTAAAGTACATATTAATTTCTTCTGTGTACATTGTAATACTTTCGATTTCAAAATATGAAATGCTTCATCTGTAAAACCAGGGGAACTATTTATGGTTTTGTACCAGTTGTAAATAGTTTTCAGATGTGGGAGGCAAGTATTAAATGTTTTACGAACATAGATATAAGCTCGTGGCGAGTAAAAATGCAAGGTTAGACAGAATTTCCTAAATTCTGGAGTGTATTTAGGCATCGGTCGTTTTTTATCTTTACATATTTTTTTAGCTAAGCTACTGTATAAATCTGCTGCAAATACATTTTCCGACAAAATATTAGATATGTCATTATTAATATATCTTTTCTTCCGTAATTCTACTAAAATATTTTTAAGAGTGGCATTTCTTTTCTTTAAGCGTCGATTTTTTTGCTTCAGAGTCTTAATCTTTCTATTGTGTTTTTGTTGCAACAAGATCTTTTTTCTTAGTTGTCTCCGTAGTGAAGCCTTTTTTAGGTGAATCGAAAATAGAATCTAGTTCTGAAGATAAAGGTGTCATTGAAGCACTTAGATTAACATTTTTGTCCATCTCACAACCTGAGGCTTCCTGAAAAACATTTATACAAATAAATAAAGTAGTAAGTACGTATCTGCCCCACATACTGATTTACTGGTAGAGAATGCCATAAGGCATAAAGTCCACTGTTTATGCATCTTATTCGTGCAATAAAGAAAATATAAATAAAAATAAGCCAATAGCTACTCGTCAATCGACATAATAATTTACTGTTAGTTTAGTTTCTATATTATTATTATTTTACTACACAAAAGGTGGACTTAACGCTTATTGGCATTCCCTACCATTAATTTCATTTACATTATGTGACTATGATGATGACTATGACTTAATAAAATACTGCACTAGAAAAAATCGACTGGTATCGAGTGGGGCTCGAACCCACGATCTTTCAATAACCGGGCGACTGCTCATCTTTTTCTCTTGTCGTGGATTTGAGTTCTGCTCGATACCAGTCGATTTTTCTACTGCAGTATTTTCTTTTGAAAATAATGGCATTGTGAATGCTTAAAACCACAAATAAATTATGTGACTTGGCTTTGTGCTGATTTATTAAAAACTTACCGGCTGAGGTTGATTTTGCTCTTGACTTAAATCATCACTCTTCTCTTCCGTGCTAAAAACGGGTAGATCCTAGAACACAAAAGTTAAACGTAAGAAAAAAAAATTAAAAAGCAATCCATATTTAAACAGTTTATAGGTATAGAGCGGAATTTTTTATACCTTAGTTGGAACTGCACCCCTGCGTAATCTACATAGGCCACCTTTAGTAATATACTTTACTTCATCCTCAAAATGTAAAGAACAAATTTTTGTATTTTTAGTGGGCTTCCAACTGCTATTATTTCGATTGCGTCTGATTTTTTCTGTCCAACGATCTGCAATGATCGGATCAGAAGGAAACCTAAAACGAAAATGAAACATTCATTTATTATCAGACCATATAATAAATTTCCTTAAAATTTATCATCGATACTTTTTAAATAAAAACAATGCGTTGTATTTTATTCAAATTTATTGACGTATTTTACTTTTAATTAAACGAAAAAATGTGGGAGAATTTTTTTTCACACTTTGGCAACATTTCCATAAAATCTCATGTGTCAGTTTTTAAAAATTCATATTTATTTTTGATGAATATTTTACGTAAAAATATAAGTTCAAAAGCACTACTTACACGTGAAATGTAATGTCATTATGTTTCTTGTGTTTCTCTGATGTATTGTGACATCCGTTCACTGCACAAACCGTCATTTTAATTAAAGTTATGAGAGCTGTTGTCAACACGGTACGACACTGAGCACTAACGGGCCGAGTATTGAACTGAGCCATACTGGCTTAGTTTAAGTTGCCTCACATTACGGACGCAGACTCGGCTTCTAGGTGTTATTATTCTATGGAGCGCATATTCAAATATGTCCATGTCGAAATCTACGCGATCGCTTTAGATCGGCGTAATATTGACGCACACTACAATGTTATCTCTGTGTGCGTGTCAGTGCGAGCGTGAGGCTATAATAGTTGCCTAACGACGACTACGAATCACTTTGATCTTTGATTATATACCTGTCTTTGATACTGCTGGAACTAAAATAATAAAAAAATAATTTCCATATAATGGCTTATATAGGGTATAGAAATCGGAGGCTAATATGTGGAAATTGTTTTATTCTTTTAGTAAATTGAAGTCGGCTTTACATTTTCACCCTATTGAGTAGGTATATTATAATATGTATATGTTCTAATTGAAAAATATGTATTGTATAAAATATATATCATTTGATAAACTTTTATTCTGTTTCATAATGTAAACATAATTCATCACAAACAATTTCATTAGTGTCGACGGGGAGTAGTGTTGCCAGGTCTAGCAAGTAAAATTTCGGGACGGAAGGTAAAAATAATCGGGGATTTGGTTTTCATATCCGGACAACTACAATGACTACAAAATATAGGTTTCTTTGTAGCCTTTTTTGTGCTTTATTGAGAGCCGTGGTAGCTCAGATGGTCAACACTAAGTTTAAAGTGTAAATATCACATGCGAGTAATGCGAGAAATTGTGACTGTAACTTTACTTTATTTTTGTGCTTTATAATTATTATTCGGGTCTGATCTCATAAACGAATAACTTTTCATCCAAACATCGTAAAAACTGATTTTGTTTTTCATTTTAAGCAAATTAAAACATTTTTGAACTATTTTTTTTTTTGCAGTCCTTGAATTTTTCAAATCACTCATTTTAATATAATTCTGTTTAAAACTTTTGTGGTTTTTTTCGACTAGTGAGACAATGTCGTAGTAAAAATATTTTAATGTGGTAGTAGCTAACAGATATAATCATTTTTGCTGTTTAAATTATGGATTAAAGTATAGAATAAGAATGTTAGTGAAAATGGGGACATTTGGCGTCCCGATCAAGGGTGAATCGGGACGTGTCACTAGACCCTTGAAAATCGGGACGTTCCGCGCAAATCGGGACACCTGGCAACACTAGCGGCGATCGAGCCCGGATTGTTCGCGTTTACGCCGTAAACTTTACGGCGAGCACTACGCCCTTGAGCTACTCAACTCAAGCACGGCTCATATGTTTTATGTCTGCAAAAATTTTATGTCGCCAAGTCGAGCAAAACAGCGGCACGGCCGTATCATCATTGCGAGACTTGGTTATTTTACAAGTTATGTTTTTGATGGCATGTCTTTGTTTAATCATAACGTTATTTCCGCACTAGGAATTTTTCCTAAGTACATCGTTGGGGCAGTTTAAATACATTAATTTCACAAGGACAAACATCCAGACCTGGAACAATTATTTGTAGGTAATACAAATTTTTGCTCAATGTGGGATTCGAACCTGCGGCGCTCAGCGCTACAACTCATTACCAAGTCACTCCGCCACGGAGCCAAAGGTGAAAGCCAACGATTTTGTATTTTTACTTGATCCAAATTGCTTACGTTCATTACTCATTTCTAAAAAAATATGTATGAAATGAAAATTTGTCACCATTACATCATTTAATATTTAAATATTACAATCATAAACATATTTCAAAATTACTTACTACCAAAAATATCGCTTATAAAAGTCTCAATCGTTTAAAATGCGCGATGGTGCTATAGGTAGCTAGTTATAGTATAGTGTAGTATATCCCTATCCGTGTATAACGCGATCGCGCGGTGTCGGGGAGAAAAAGTGATACGTCCTGTCGTTGGGATTACCCGGAGCGTACTGAAACTGAAACTGAATCGAACGGTGCCTGCGCATGATGTTTTATAGTATTTTTAAAATAATTATATAAAATAATTGACAAAATAAAACGAGCTAAATTTTTTTTGGATATTTAACATTACATGTATTTTGATAAAATAATTAAAATAGATATGTTTATAAACAAATACATGGAAAAAATTACATTGAAGTAGACAGTTTTTGTGATTTTATAATATTATTTTATAATATTAAATCGAAATATTTTCGTAATTTAGGTTTTGCTATACACTAAAAGACTATATATTCCATTATAATAACGCTTAAAATAAAGTATTTTAGCTTATAATAATGGTTGTATTCAACCTGAAAGATAACTCTGATGCATTTCGTAAATCGCTGTGAAGGGATTGTCTTCGCCCTAAAAAACTGTCATTAAAAACTATGATTTTGCATTGCTATGTACTAAATAAAGACTTCATCTTTCTAAAGCCCTAATTTTCAGCAAATAATCTCCTCACGTCGTTACGATATCGCCTTTGGAAAAACCATAAAACATGTAGTTTTCGACGCGAAACGCATATGCCCTCTTAAGTAGATTTTAAAAATTTAGCCTGCCCATACTGATTTGCAACACACAACACACTGGCTGATCGCATTTGGTTGGGCCTGAATGTATAGTAAGTATGTGATCTTCTCTTTTTTCTGATATTGCATATGATCATTCCTATCGCATAGTAAACGTTACATTGCTACAAACAACGGTAAATTTAATCGAGTGAATACATGCACTTTAATATTATTACAAATATATAAGTGTAAGAACCCAGGAAGAATGTTTAAAGGCGGTACTGTTGCGATGAAACAAATTTCTACGTCGGGGAGCGAATACAGATTTAAATAAATATTGGGTAATAAGAACATTGCAAATTGGTATAGTGTTATAGTTAATACCTCCTTTTTAGTATTTAAAATACTTGTACCTGAAGGCCATACTCTTTGCATATCATAGCTTTATACTATTATCAGTGGCGTAGCTTTGTAAGCAAGGGCCCCGGGGCAAAACTTACATTAGGGCCTTATTTGAACTAAACTAAATATATAAGGTGCAAAACTACTTCATCATTAGCTCTTTATCGCTCACTGTAGGGCATAATAAAGCAAAGCTACTTACTACTAAGTAGTATGTGTAACGCAGCAGATAATATTTATTCGTACTTCCTTATCTACGAGTATAATATATGCATATAAAAGAGGATGCTTTGAGTAACTGACTCATCTACCAACGCACAGCCCAAACGCTATACGTAGAAATCTGAAAATTGGACAGTAATATAAAAATAAAAATTAAAAAAATTTTTGTATGGTGGGATCGGAAGGTCATCGTTTATAATCAGTATTTACAGCCGGGAAAAACCACCGATTTGGATCTCTACTGCAAACAACTAATGAGACTCAAGCAAGAAATTGAGAAAAAATCGGCCGGAATTGATCAACAGTAAAAGCGTGGTATTTCATCACGATAACTCCGGACCACAAACCTTTGGCCATTCAGCAAAAATTTAGAGAGCTTGAGAAGTGTAAATGCATCCACAATTAGTTATATTCTGTCATCATTAGTCTATAGTTCTGACCTTGCAACTTCAGATTTTCACCTGCTTCGGTCTCTTGAGAATTCTTTGGGTAGTGCTAGGTTAACATCAAGAAAGGGCTGTCAAAACTACTTGTCGCATTATTTTAGACAAAAATCCCAAGATTTCTACAGCAACAAGATTATGGTAACAAGTTTAGTCGAACTTGACGTGACTTTTTTTTTGCCGTCTGGAAAATAATATGGTGGTGTAAGTGGAATGGAAGGTATCCTCGAAAACTTTCTAAATTATAACTGATAGAAAAAAATTCCGAATATTCAAAAAATTACATAAAAACAATTCATCCTACTGCATTTGCATAAAACTAAAAATAATTTTTACTGCATTTGTCTATAAAAAAGGTTATTTCAAATTAGTAAAATTTATACATTTTATAAGTTAATTAAAAAAAATTGAAATATCAGTGCCATAGGATTCTTACTCCGTTCACACCCTATTTTTTCCAGACGGTACAAAATCATCTAGTATTTTATAATTAAATGTAATTAAACTTTGAAAGAAATGTCTTGAATTTGTATATGTTTCTTTGTTACGCTTTCACGCCAAAACTGATGTATGGATTTGTATGAAATTTTGCACACGGATAGAGCTCGACCTGGGTAGGACTTAGGATACTTTCATCCCGGTAAAAGGATCCCATGGTATAATTTTCAATGTTGGTCCATACCAAACGAAGTAAGAATGACGAAGTAGATTACAGTTAGTAACTATGTACTTAGACACTAAAACGAAATAGACGATTTTATTCAACAATGATGTTTATGTTTTGTAGGAGGAAGAAATTTTTGTGATTTCGGTTTGAAAGTTCGAGGTTTGTAGGTCAGGGGACAAAAAGTTAAAAATAATAATTATTTGTTCACCTTTCGTCGCCAACAAACTGTTGCACAGTTTGGCGATGTTTATTATTATTTTAAATGTGTGTATTTTATATTAATAAAGATTTAAAAAAAAAAACAAGGATGTTATATAATTTTTGAATGTCGTTCATGGAGGCCGAGGGGCCCCTTGAGCTTGGGGGCCCTGGGGCACTGCCCCGCCTAGCCCCAAGGTAGCTACGCCACTGGCTATTATAAACTTATTACCAATAATTTGATGATTACAAAGTTTAAAATAATTATTCTTACACGAAAAAAAGGAAGAAAAAAATTTTGATACTCACCATCCTCTTCAGTACCGCTATGTTGGGAATCCGGGGGCATTGAAAAGCAAGTGCACGTCCGCGTAAGTTTAGTATACTCGCAAAACTTTAGCGTCTGCAATCTGTAATGAAAAAGTTGTTAAATTTCTTATACCGTTAGAACGCTAGAACTAGAACGCTAGAATGCTAGCAGCTCGGGTTCGTACCCCGTCGATACCAATTAAATTATTGCAATTTTAAGTGTCGATTTACCACGTGGTCGACGGTGAAGGAAAACATCGTGAGAAACCTGCATATTTAAAAAATAAAAAAAATATTTCGAAAACATGTCATGTTCACCAACACGCATTGGGGCAGCGCGGTGGACATTTCCTTGCCTTAAAATCCTCTCAGAAATTAGAGGAAGTCCAGCAGTGAGACGTATATAGGCTGTAACTTTACAGAGATAACCGTTAATAATGATAATCGTAAGTAGTAGAGCTATGCTGCACCTGTTATATGGTTGTAGCACGAATGAGTCGACTCGGTCGAGGACAGACCACGCTCTAACAAAATACCAAAGTAAAATAAAATAATGCTTTTGTTTCGAATGGTGAGTGTAGAGTCCCTGAAATGTAAATGTCTATAAGCCAATGCATCCGCTTAAAATTTATCTATTTCACGATGAAGGTTTAGCCTTGATAGCGTAGTGACATGTACCGACAGGCGCGTTTGTGTGTGTAAACTGAAGGACCGCAACGATCTTGACTGAGCGCTCCCGAGGCCTACGCACACTAACACAATCTTCATCGCGAAATAGATTAACTTACCCTCAGGTAAACTGTGTCTTTATTATTCTATAAAAACATCTTCTACCCGTGTTATTCTTTTCTTTTCTTTTATGCATACTTATTCTATGCTTAATTATGATATAACTCAAATTTAATCTTCTTAGAATGAAATTAATTTTGTGAGAGTGAGTGATTAAGTTTGCTAGTATCTACGACATCCAATATATAAATAGTAGGAGATGACTTTCGTATAAAATTAAAGGGTTGCTTATAAAGTTGTCCTCCAAGCACAAAATATATTATTATTCATTTATTCCAACTATGCAATTCATTTTACAATTTGTATTATTTCATATTTTAAACATTGGCTTGGTCTTACGATGTAGCTTTAGCGACCATTATTTTATAAAAAATATTTTTTTTAATTATAAGTTTAACATTTTGCATATAATTTACTCATTAGCAGTAGTAATTTACGCACTAAGTTTGCCATTTTAATAAATTTCTCTTTATGGGTCTACTGGAAGATATTTCAGCAAATTATGGAATAAACAGTACCTTTGTACGAACTTATTGTAAGACCGTTTCTGTATTTTGTTATATGTACATAAATAAATCAAACAAAAAAAAATTAAAAACGTTAATATATGACGTAACATGACCAAGAATAAATTGGCTGCAGTAAAGTAAAAGGTATAAACTTACTTGTTCATATGTATGACTGTGGTTGTAATGGTTACCAACACGCATGTCAACGCACAAACCAGACAACAAGCCCCCACCACTTTTATCTGAAAACGATAAACATTATCCACATACACAACGTTTTGAGCCTGCGAAATCTTTCCTAAGGTGGGATAAGTGATAACAATAAGTGGATCGCTTCAATCAGGGAGGCAGAAATTCAAATATAGGCAAAATCAAAAAACATAAATGTAGGATTTTTTGTTTAGACGCTATGCTGAACTGACTAAACGTGGTTAAAAATAAAAGTAATAAAAAGTATAACGCGTATCCGTAGTAGTAAACGTAGAATTATTTAAAGTTAAACAGTTTGTTAAAAAGAGTATTAAAAGCTACATACTTTTCTTACCATATAGCTGTACCGGTTCCTCCGCCTCGCTAAGCTCATTATGCACACTCCTGTCAGCACCAGCTGTAAAAGATTACTAATAAATCATATTTTACCTTCGGAGGATCGCAGATTACGAGCGTGATAAGAACCCAAAGATTTTAATTGTCGATCGCAGAGTTATTTTTATAAATGGGTTCATAATCTATAGACAGTTTTAGCTTAAAACCAAGCATAATCATTTTTACCATAATAATAATTAAATCACTTAAAACACCAAATTAACTTAATCCTGGCAGAGTCGCCATGTAATATTGGTAGGTATCAAAAGAGAAAGAGATGCGTGTTTATCTGTCTAGGTCTTTAATTAGACTGCCTCTTAATAATTACAATCGACAGTAATATATATTATATTATACATGTTGTTTCTGTCTACATCACACCTCCCAGCAACAAAATAATAGACTTTTTTAAAACACTGAAACTTGCATTTCAGGTATTGGGGAGTACATGGATCATAAAGGATTGAAAATAGCGTGCGAACAATTTTGATTCATCTAAACTGATGGATAGAGAGACATCAAAGCTTAGAACGATATAAGGATACATGATCGTATTATGTTTAGTAATGTTGTATTATTGTTATTATTATCATTATATATTATAATTGTAACAAACGTACTAAAATTTTTAATTTTTAAAAATTTAAATTTTAAAAAATTTAGTATGTTTGTTAACGCACACGTAGACAATTTTTCAACACTTATTCGCAAAAGAACTGCGTCACTGATGCACAGGGTTCGTGGGCGCAACAGCATTCTTAACGTAATTAGTGAGAAACCCGAGTGTGCTTTTTTGAGGAACTGGGTTCATGTCCATGTACCCATTACCTCGGACAGGCACCTCAGATATATGAACTAATTTATTACCTAATTTTACTTACATATATTTAAGACTTTTTCTTTGTATTTTTAAAAAAATATTGTATTATATCATTATGGTAAGTTTTGTTGGTGGTTTTGTTAATATATAATTAAATCGGATATGATGATTTATGTTATTTTATTATTATTAAATTATTATTTTATTTTCGATATTATTATAAATACTTACGCATTTGATATAATTAATATTAGTAATGATTTATAATTTTAGTATTAGAATAAATGTTAATGTATGTTATTTTACCCTATGATCCTTGTTCATTGAAATAAATTAATAAATAAATAACATAAATAAAAATAAAATTTACGAAGACCAAAAATAAAACGGGTATCACACATTAGCATAATAAATGACCGATAAAATAGGAGTTGGTACCAACATAGCCTAAGTCTCGATTGGAAGGAAATTCTTGAAACGATTAAGGCCACGCAGGGTGATTGTCATTCTCCGACTTATTTCAACTTCCTGAGATTGCCAACTTAAATAAGCATCAATTATTAAATCATGGTCTTTAACTACATATCTATAATATTTGTGCTATTCTAAACAATAGGCTCTAGTGAATTAAAATCTAATTTAGCTAGACGACGAGGCCTACCGAGAGTTATGGCTTGACATTTATTAGGACTGACAGCAATTCCATAACTTCTGCACCAGTCATAGATGCACAGAAGATTTAGATTTAAAATGTCGATCGCTGAATTAATTTATATTTCACGAGTAAAATTATTTTTTAATTATTGTGTTTTCGGTCTGGGCATCGGGTTCCATTTAACTCAAATCTCTTACCACAGATAATTAAGGATTTGGTCCTCTTAACTATAACAAAATTACTAAAAATCAGAGTAAAAAAATAAATATTTTTTATAAGATGAGAAATATACCATTGCTGCTGGTACGGCAGCGGGCACTGTCTCCAAATGTTGGGGCGAAGCAGTATAGGCTCGTAGCAGAATATGTTGAGCGGCTAGTAGACCTCCCAGTGCTGCTGCCAACGCACCACAACCCACGCACCACCACGCGTACTTCCTCCGCCGACAGGAGTTGTCGTTGCCATTACAACCTACGGACGCTGAAAACAAAACACCATCATAAACAAGTTATAATTTTTAGTGAACAATTATTCGTTCTTTTTCTAGTTATATGCTGCATATGTCTTACTACTAAGCACATGTCTGCTCTAATACGCCTTCTGTTTCTATCTCTGTATATCTAAGAATGTTATATAGTAGGCTGAACAAAAAAGAATTGGAAAAAGGTTTTAGTAATTAAAGTATATAAGATACAAATAAAACATCACAAATACTTTAAAGGGCCAATATAATTAATTATTGAAGTTGTATTTTATTCAACCCTTGACATAGTAAAGAAATAGGAAATTTTTCGAGTGCCGGATCGGCAACCGTTACACACAACATAAAATGATTATACAGCCTTCTAGCGAAAGCCACAAAACCTTCTGTAGTTTTTCCCACCCGAAATTTTATGAATATGATTCATTTTTAATGATGTTGATTATTTAAACAACTTTAAAATAATTACTTTTCACAAATATGAATGCAAACTTTACATATATATTCAAAGATGTAAATTCTTAACTCATTTTCTTTTCCGTGTACCTCAGAGTTAATGTTTTACTGTTGTGTCTGAAAATCGACCATGAAATTGTTAACTACCATAAACTTTTCAGTAAAGCAAGTTTGGATTTATTTAGCAAACGAAACGGGCTGTAATCATAAAAGTTAACAAACTAAGGTTTTTAAGTTAACTGTAATTTGTTAACTTTAAGTAAAGTAATTTATTTACGGGCAATAGACCGACATTGACTATAGTCTTAGCAATTAATCAATGTATCTTTTTAACTTAGTCTTATTTTACATTCTGTGCAATGGGGCTAGATGATAGGAAGATCCGGAATGAGATCAAATATGGGGTGCCACATGCTGGGCCGCTTATGTGAAACCTCACGTATAATGTGATTCTACGAGTCATCCTTCATGCTAGCGTAGTATTGTTTGCTATGCCGACGATCGTTGTTGGTTGCCATCAGGGCGCTCGGCGTGCTCCATGGTTCTCTTAAATATGTTAGGAGGAGCAAGCAGCACGCCGAGCTTGGGGAGGCAGTCGTCGTCGCCAAAAATCACGAATTGGCCTCACAAGACTAAGACGATGAAGCTTCAGCGACTATCCAGGTACATGAAGGTGCGAAGAACACTACGAGCGCCTAGTATACCCACTACCTTTTTAATCGGGAGGAGATGCACGCAAATGCGTTTTTGAAGTAATCCTATCGCACTTCGATGGGAAGCCTAGAATGCATTGACGAACTGGAATACATCTATACAATTACACATAATTATCTGGCACGGGGGCTTCGCTGATTATCTGTGTAAGATCGGACGTGCAGCAACGGTGAACTTGTTTATCTTTGGTGGGTGGGACCAGATCTCTGCATACCATACGCGTGCAAAATTTCTAGCGTGGGAACGGGAGCAGACGACTCTAGTGAGCCGGATTGATCTGGCGGCTGACGGCTGCAACATGGCTCTACCACGAAATGCGTCCTGCATTTCGTGGTAGAGCCATGTTGCAGCCGTATTATCCATAATATAACACGAATAGGTCGTGGTTTCACAAGGACCACGCTCTCACAGAATACCAGCGTAAAATAGCAGCTCAATGCTGCTGTATTTCGTATGGTGAGTGTAGTATCGCCTATATAATATTGACGACTCCGTGGCGCAGTGGCTTAGCAATGAGTGGCTGCGCTGGGGATCGCGGGTTCGAATCCCGCACGGAACAAGTATTCGTATGGCCTACAAGTAGTTGTTCCGGGTGTGGATGTTCGTCCTTGTGCAATTTATGTTTGTAAACTGCCCCCACAATACAAGAGAAAATCTTAGTGTAGGGGTAACGTTTTTTTAAAAAAAAATAGACAACCTTTTTTTACTGGAAACGAAGCATTCCATCTTAGCCATCAGGGGTGATAAGTGATAACGCATCTGCATTTTGATGCTTAATTGAGGATAGATGTCTATGAACCACAGCATCCACCCACCATCAGATGGACTGTGTGCTCGTTTGTCACCCTTACACTATAAATAACCTCTCTCTGCCAACAGTCGTGTCACCGATGCTAAACAGGGAGTCAGCGTGAAGGACCGTAATCACCTTTCGCGAAGAGGCTGCTGAGCGGTATCGGGAGAGAACAGATACCTCAAAGAGATGACTTCGCCAAGGCGATCGTTAAGGCCCGCCCCTTGATGATTATAGTATTCCCCGCCAGAGAAACGAGACCTTGGCGGGGGGGGAGGTGAATCGCAGTGGGGTGGTCCGCCTACTAATAACCTTTCCGTTGCTCCCGCAACCGAAGGTTTCCCCCCGATAAAATAGGATAGTTACCAAGCTTGTTTTTGTGGCTATACCTCCAACTTGTACCTATTTAATGTGTACAATAAATTGTGTAGCTTACTTGACGCGGTGGACATTGAAATTTATGCCTGGCAACGCTTCGGTGAGGGAAATTAGTTAAATTTTAATTTTAACAATATGTGACTTTCAATCCTAAATTACTTTTTGGTAAATCTTTTGTGAAACTTAATTCACAAAATGTTCTTGTTTTTCAATAACATAGAATGCTGAAGTACATCAAAAATTTATTAAATTTTATTCAGAATTAACGCCTGCTATGTTGAATCTCTACATAGTATAAAACAAAGTCGCTTCCTTGCCGTCTGTACGCTTATATTTTTTAAACTACGCAACTGATTTTGATGTGGTTTTGAGCAATAGACAGAATGATTTAAGATGAAGGTTTATATGTATAATACATTCATTAGTTGTCGAGATCCAAAAATCACCCGTGCGTAGCCGAGGCGGTTCCCTAGTTCTGAGAACTAAATACGTAGTAAGAAGTAACCGATGGTCCCAAAACCGAGCCTAGTGGTACGCCGAGGATTATAAAACGAGGGCTAGTAAAATGCGTTGGGCTAATCTGAACTGTTTCATTATATAATTATTGATCTATAATTAAATTAGCCAAGTTCGTTTAACTTCTGTAACGATAAATCTTGACACTATTTATTCTTATTGATAGTTACTTCGTATGATATTCTTATACTGGATAATATCTTTACCGTCTGGATACAAAATAGGGTGTAACAGGTGAAAGGAATAGAGGCCTATGGCAATGATATTTTACAATTACCATTCATAAATATAATATTAACTACTTAATTATTTATTGATTATTCATAAATAAATATCAATAAATAATTAGGTAGGTAGGACCTATATATAGTTCAACTCCGTAATATGTTAATGTAAAAGAAAAAAATTGTAAAATATCAGTTGCCACAGGCTTCTTTCCATTCACTTGTTACACCCAATTTTTATCCAGATGGTGAAAAAGATCACTAAGTATATATTATATGATAAATTCTAAGTGTTGGATTTTTTCTGAAACAATTGTTTCTAAAAAAATAATGAAGACAATAGCTTCTCTTTTTTTTATAAAACAGGAATGGTCTTTTATTTATACAGTAAGAAAGTTCGTCAACAATTAATTACAAATAATTAGAATTAAATTACTATCTACTTGCTATTTAAATTAAATATTATTACTAAAAAATTAATTTATAGCTGTTGATGTAATTTAAATTATTATTTTAATAACAATTACCTACCAAAATATGGAGGCGGTGGTACATAATGCTGGGCTACTTCAGCTGCTATTGTCGGTTGAGGTGTGGTGGACACTTGGTATTGCAAAACTTGCATTATGCTGCACGTTTGCATATCCCTAATTTATTTCAATGTCACAACACGCACTCAAGTTATTTTCAATAAAAAATAATATTGAACCCTCATGTTATGTTTAATCAATATATACACTTTTAATATTTCTTATAAAAATCCCAATAAGTTTAAGTAGTAACGGACACAAACATTACACGCCACATTCAAACTCCGCGCCATCCCGAGAATCGATATTTACAACACAACACTCCAAACACTGTAAAGAACAATGACCTTTTCGAAAGAAACAAACATTTGCGAATTTAAAGATGGCAAACAATAATTTCACTTTAGATCTGAATTAATAAAAATAAGACTAGTATTATAGTTATTTGCACATCAAACTTTTATCCAATTGGAGGTATATGTTTGCATTTTCCCTCCTTTATTTTTGTCTTTGACGATAATATTATATTTGTTAAATACCACGGTAACTGGCACAATTTACACCACATCCTAAAAATAATAGTAAGAAAGCGACACTAACTGAATTTTTCGTGATTAGAGATTACATTTTATTAATACGTTTACTACCGTCGACTAGGTTATATATTCTGACAATGGCTACCCCGCGCAGAAGCAATGCGTGCTTTATGGGATCGCAGGTAAAAAGGACTTAAATTAAACGAATCCAAATGTTACTTATAGATTTCACCCCGCAATTGTAACTAGAACATCGTACATCGGCATCGTACCCACGTCCATTGAGTTGGATTGTCCAAAAATGCGGTAACAATATAAAAGAAATATCTATTCACATGTTAAGCCATCAGGTACACTATTCATAAGTTTGTGATATAGGTAGAAATTGTGACACAAACGAAACAGCTATTGTTAGATTTATAAGAGACATCTTTTTGTCACACACCTGCGTGTGAAGTAATGGCCAAACATCAGTTAAATCAGTTTTGTGGGACACATATTTTGTAAATTTATTGTGCAAATTCTTATACATTTTATGAACAATGACCAGCCGGAAAACATAAATATTTTTTTCTTAAATAAAACTTTAATCCACGAAAATATAAAAAGGGCAGTACTAAAATCAGCTTATTGGATCCACAGTGTCTGCAATAGTTATTAAGAGCCTAAAGTCTTTATTGCCAATGTCTTACAAAGACTAGTTAATTCTTTTATCGCTTTATAAAAACCCTTTGGAAGATTCACTAAAGTCAACCACTACAAGTTGTAAAAAAAGAACTGGCTGGGTCCAAGTTAAACATTGCACAAGTGAAAATGAATTTCTTACCTACATACGAATATCATTTTCTTTTGATGTTATCAAAACAACATAACAACAGGGACTTACGTCTTAACAAGCATAGCATTCCTTATATCATGATGTAAACTAAAAGTGCAGTAGGGGACTGGGCTGGCTATGTGATCTCAATCTTAAGTGAGGGGGGAATACGTTTCGTGTTTTACTCACTTTAAAAACATGTAATGATGATCATAATTAAAATTGTTAGAAATATTATTCTAATTTAAATAATCGTTGATGAGTCTGTTATAGATCGTATAATTTCCGAGTAACCGACTGAGGTCATATTTACACAATATTATATTTGTTGTTTTTTTTTTCAAATCAATAATTCAATACGAGTAGCTCATGCGGCGCAAGGAGACCGTGTTCTCAAGATTTTAGCTATGCTAGGATCCGATAGGGGTGCAGTGCAGTTGTCAAGTTATTTACAAATTCTATATTTATGAATATAAATTGATTGAGTGCCAAAAAAGAATAAGTAACACAAGTTCTTGGCGCTGTGATTGAGCTTTAAATAAAATACTTAATATTTCACATTGTATAAATTCCGACACGTGGAATAAAACGGAATTTATCGCATTTAACTTCAACTTACCTATTTTAACGTGTTTTAATTTCCGACGTTTCGTGTACTTTATTACAGAAAGTGTTTGTCGTAGAGTCAACTCGGGCTTAACTACAGCTCTTAAATTTTAACTTTTAGTCGGATTTACGCAAAACGAGCCCATAGCATTTTTAAGTATTGCAGTTATATACTTGGATTGGGATTTAAGTATCCAAACCCAAGCATTCTACTGCAAGACCATTCAATTCCATTTTTTTAGTTTTTTAGGGTTTTCTCAAGTATCGTGGGTAGTTTAGATACATAAATTTCACAAGGGCAAATATCCAGACCTGAAATAATTATTTACAGACCATACAAATACTTGTTCCATGCGGGATACGAACCCGCGGCCCTTAGCGCTGTAACTCATTGCTAAGCCACTGTGCCGCGAAGACGTCAAAATCAAGACGCAATCCCAAACACATGGCATGAAAATTGCATTGAAATTAGGATGTTTATATTTTAATTTTAATAGCCTCCCGAGTAATTCCTGTTAAAAATCAAATTTCCGCTAGTAAAGCTTAACTTTATAGGTCTAACCCAAAAATATATATTCTCAAAAGTAACACTCAAATTAACTTATTTAATATCTTAAAACATTTAATATTATTTACAGAAAGACCATAGTACTTATGTTTTACAAAATTTTACCTTATAGAGGTACTAGGTTAAACAATAATTTAACTATCACTCAATCTATTATACGGCGGACAAAAATGTTCAATTGAGCATTCTGTAACATTATTTATTTTGATTTCATCTGAAAACTTTGATTAATTTTAAGCTCAACGTTATTTATATTTAAGTCTACAAACCATTGTTTCTCCTGTTCGTTGCCGCCAGTACATTAGTGGGTGGACGTGGTGGAAGCGCCGGAGGAGTGTCGGTTTTCGCGGGTGGCGGGGGACCGGGGTCATCCGCGCATGCGTACTGAGCCGTCGACGGTTTGCATGTGCACGCCACTTGGTACTGAAAGGTTTTGATACTTTATTTTTAAGATTGTTAAACTACTAAATCTGAAGGTAAATTAAATTGGTGACAGTTTCTACTGTAGGCAATTGCTGAGTAGTGCATAGATTGTCTCACAGGTTGAATATTTACTACAGTTTTTCATTACTATGAGTTCTGAAAAACTGTAGTAAATATTCAACCTTGAAGATGTTGCTGCCCATCTGTTTCATTTCTCTTTGTCGCCATTTACATATTCACTCGATGATAATAATTATGTAGTATCTCGTTGATTCTCTTACATTTTATGTAAATTTTCAGTTTCATGGAAATTTAAGAATATGGACTTTACATTATTATTAAGGTAAATTTAAAAACAAGATCAACAAATATCTATATTGATTAAAGTTTACGTAGAATGGATAGAAAATAATAAGCTATGTATGTAAGAACTATAATTTATTCTGTGATAATATAGGTTTTCTTAAAGAGTAAACAAGATTTGATTGTTTATTAAGCATCTTTTTATATATTGTCGCGATGTAAGATTAATAAGAGATTCAAAATCAAAACTTTTTATTCTATTTATGACCAAATACTCGAACGCTACTTAATTATTAGTCGCCGATAAGTCTCGTGCTGTCTCTGTCATTAAGCCAAAGTGACTGTGACATCACATTACTACATCTTGAAATTAAGTAGTGTTTGTGTATTGACCATTGAGTTAAAACATATTGTGACGGCCCAATATTATTATTAATAATTAAATTCAATATAAAGGGGCGTCAAAAATAGTCTTAAAAGATATATATTAATCAATTAAGTTAAATTAATAAACATAAAGTTAATATATTTCAGACATTATCCCAATAACATAGTAAATTAAAGGCAAAATTATTGTTTTTCGTAATAAATAAATTTATTTAAAAACTTGAAAAAATATTTAAAATAAGATAAATAATAGAAATACAAGTCAAAAAATATTATAAAATTAAGTTAAATAACGTTTATAAGATAATTAGAAAATTTGTTAAAAATTGTTTGTCATGGGAGGTATTCGTGTATAAAAGAAAAATTTTCTAAGTTATGGAAGGTGTTCACGTATAGACGTCTTGTATGGAGGAAGCTGCCGGAGGTACATACCTGCAGTTGTACATATATATGGGGTGGTCGGGAGCCCGACTGCCTGAAGTACTGTAGCACAATGACTAGTCCTATATTAGGGACTTATGATATTAAACTCAATGATACAAAAGCAATACTAAAGAAGGTCTCCATGATGAATTTGCATTACAATAGTAGGGTCGTGGGTTCGAACCCTATATATTAATGACTTATGAAAGTAAGGTCTATGATTCAAAAGCAATACTATAGAAGGTCTCTATGATTAATATGCATTACAATAGTAGGGTCGTGGGTTCGAATCCCATGACTTATGAAAGTAAGGTCTATGATCCAAAAGCAATACTATAGAAGGTCTCTATGATTAATATGCATTACAATAGTAGGGTCGTGGGTTCGAATCCTATATATGAATGACTTATGAAAGTAAGGTCTATGATTCAAAAGCAATACTATAGAAGGTCTCTATGATTAATATGCATTACAATAGTAGGGTCGTGGGTTCGAATCCTATATATACATGACTTATGAAAGTAAGGTCTATGATACAAAAGCAATATTATAGGAGGTCTCCTTGATGCATAAGCATTGTATGGGGTGGTCGGGTGACTGACTGCTCCTAGCACTGTAGCAAAGTGACTAGTCCTTATTAGGGACTTGAAAAGGAATATTATGGTGGCGTGTGTGCTGCTTCACGAGCAATTGGTCCGAGGTAAACTTGGACTCGCTAACCGATGTGTCCTAGACATATCATCTTAGTGCCGGTGGTAAGCGGGTTTGTTGTAGCAATACGGCTTTCCCGTGGACATCGCACACCCATACCGTTTGTGGGCGGCGTAGTAGCGCATAGCCATGCGTCGTCTATATTTTGGATTGGGATGATGAGTGTGTTTGGTAGCACTTTTAAGTGTAACAGGCATACTCAACTTCATGTCTTAGTGCATTAGCGCTATGATACGTGGAGTTTTGTTCATTGGCGTCTTAGTAGCGTGCTACTATGATACGTTGGTGATATTTTTTATATAACAACAATACAAACTTTGTTACCAAAGTCGATAAGGATCATGTGGGTGTGTTGTGAGGGGGCGCCACCCGTATGATAGTTGCATTGATGCTTATTGCTACTTGCGGTATTGCGTCTTGTGATGGACCTGCGGGTGTGCTGCGCCTGATTCGACGCATTCCTGTGGTTCTGGTCGATCGAGGTATACAATTAACATCTTAGTGCCGATGGTAAGCGGGTTTGTTGTAGCAATACGGCTTTCCCGTGGACATCGCACACCCATACCGTTTGTGGGCGACGTCGTTGCGCATAGCGATGTGTCGTCTGTCCTTCGGATTGGGATGATGAGTGTGTTTGGTAGCACTTTTAAGTGTAACAGACATATTCAACTTCATGTCTTAGTGCATTAGTGCTATGATACGTGGAGTTTTGTTCATTGGCGTCTTAGTAGCGTGCTACTATGATACGTTGGTGATATATTTTATATAACAACAATACAAACTTTGTTACCAAAGTCGATAGGGATCATGTGGGTGTGTTGTGAGGGGGCGCCACCCGTATGATAGTTGCATTGATGCTTACTGCTACTTGCGGTATTGCGTCTTGTGATGGATCTGCGGGTGTGCTGCGCCTGATTCGACGCATTCTTGTGGTTCTGGTCGATGGAGGTATACAATTAACATCTTAGTGCCGGTGGTAAGCGGGTTTGTTGTAGCAATACGGCTTTCTCGTGGACATCGCACACCCATACTGTTTGTGGGCGACGTCGTTGCGCATAGCGATGTGTCGTCTATCTTTCGGATTGGGATGATGAGTGTGTTTGGTAGCACTTTTAAGTGTAACAGGCATACTCAACTTCATGTCTTAGTGCATTAGCGCTATGATACGTGGAGTTTTGTTCATTGGCGTCTTAGTAGCGTGCTACTATGATACGTTGGTGATATTTTTTATATAACAACAATAAAAACTTTGTTGCCAAAATCGATAGGAGTCATGTGGGTGTGTTGTGAGGGGGCGCCACCCGTATGATAGTTGCATTGATGCTTACTGCTACTTGCGGTATTGCGTCTTGTGATGGATCTGCGGGTGTGCTGCGCCTGATTCGACGTATTCTTGTGGTTCTGGTCGATGGAGGTATACAATTAACATCTTAGTGCCGGTGGTAAGCGGGTTTGTTGTAGCAATACGGCTTTCCCGTGGACATCGCACACCCATACTGTTTGTGGGCGACGTCGTTGCGCATAGCGATGTGTCGTCTATCTTTCGGATTGGGATGATGAGTGTGTTTGGTAGCACTTTTAAGTGTAACAGGCATACTCAACTTCATGTCTTAGTGCATTAGCGCTATGATACGTGGAGTTTTGTTCATTGGCGTCTTAGTAGCGTGCTACTATGATACGTTGGTGATATTTTTTACATAACAACAATGCAAACTTTGTTGCCAAAGTCGATAGGGATCATGTGGGTGTGTTGTGAGGGGGCGCCACCCGTATGATAGTTGCATTTATGCTTACTGCTACTTGCGGTATTGCGTCTTGTGATGGATCTGCGGGTGTGCTGCGCCTGATTCGACGCTCTCTTGTGGTTCTGGTCGATGGAGGTATGCGGGTGGTGATGTCTGCTGGGATGTATGGGGGGCCTTGGGATGGTGTAAGCCCGACGATAGTCGTATTGATGCTTGCTGCGTTCTGCAGCATTGCGTCTCTGCGATGGTTGTTTGGTGGGACGCTATTCTCAATGGAGCTCTCTGCGTCTTGGTTTGACTCACACCTAAGTAGCTTTGCCCAAGTCGGGTCCCTTCATTGCGGGGCTGCAGACTGTCTGCCCTCCACGATGTTTTATATAACAACATAATATTATATCTCTGTAACTTTCCCACCTTTGAATGATTGAAGGCAACTTGTTGGTGGGTGAGACAAACATGATCGAAAATGCATTTACTCAACGTCAGTGACACAAACCCTTTCTGATGGCGAATTATTACTCTTATCTTATAACTGCCTTTTGGCTATATCTGCCGTTGTATTGGTTGGTGGAGCATATGTGTCGACCTCATGCGGGTGGTAGCTGGCGGGAGGATCTGAGGAGACTCTCAAGGCTGCGGCCGAAAGCCGCACAACGTGGGACCCCATTCCCTTGAGGTGAGCGGTAGACTCATGACACGCTCTGCGGCTAGTAGCCGTGCTGATCATGCAATTGGTGGTGATGCCATACACTTACATCACGTCTGCAGGAGCGGCGGTCTGGCAGGTGGTGGCGCTCACAGAGGGTTTACGGCCAGTGTGCCTATTTGCCTATACCGTGTGACGTACATTCACTGTGGCTGGATTCGTTCGTATTCAGTTTGGCGTTTACACGCATTGACATGCGCGACTTCGGTCGATGTTTGTGCTTACGCACTAGCAAGGGGCCAAGCCTCTTTTACTGGCTCGCCAGTTATTTTGCTGTGGACTACGGTCCAGTTCCCGAATTAGCTTTCCCTTCGGGGGGAGTGCATCAAAATGGTTGGCACTCACCGTATGTGCACGGCGTGTGTGGGGCCGTGTACCTCCCCCTACATTTTTTTTAAAAATAAATGTAGGAGAGCGAAGCCCTTGTATCGGGTATTTTGTATAAATATATTTTGAGCCTTTTCCGAGCGGGAAGGGATAATTAATAATGTAAACCTGATTACAAGCGGAATAGGGACGTTTTATGTTCTTAACCTTTTTCGAGCCCTGTCTTCGTGAACGGGGTTCACTTAGCTTATAAGGCACTACCAACAGCTTTCGATTGCCCTAGTGAATATTCATTCTTTCAAAAGACACCTAAAAGAACTAAGTTACTAAACAAACACAACGTAAATAAGGGTCCTAACTAAGACGATCACGCCAAAATATTAAAAACGGCCTATTAA